TTACACTGTGCAACAAGCAACGCACATCGCTTCATCTGTTTTCCACTCGCGACTGATCCAGGCTGAAGAGGAACAGGAAGTGTGTCTTCCTCCAGAAAAGAAAACACTTATAAACACAATAATGTATATGATGGCATTAGACGTGGCACTAGTGTGCTTTGACATGTTGTTTGGTGTCTTTGGAAATTGTGCAATATCGTGATTGGTCAAAATAATGTGATATTAGAAAGACTTGTTTGAGCTTTTTTGAGCCAACCTGTCTCCAACCTGTGGCCCAAGGATTCAAGAATGTCACACATTTTGAGTCATTACATATATATAGGGCTGGGCGATTAATCGATTTTAATCATTAATTCGAGTTTTACGTTTAGGGCGATTTCTTTTTTTAAAAATTCGATTTTTATTTTCTCCAGCGCAGAACTACAGCGCTAACGCGCAAACCGCGGGTCTATGGTGTTGAGCAGTCATTTTGAAGCTAACCTAATGCTAACAGTCTCCCTCTGGCCTGATGCTCGCTCTCACAGTTGGTGCTGTTGCAATAACACTTCAAACGTTCAAGAATCAGACTTTATTTAATCGCCAAAACACACACACACACGCACGCAGGCCCCGGTCGCTATGTTCGTACGCTATGTTCGTACGCCACATTTTTCACGCTCTCTCACGCTCGTTATTCCAAAGCGCACTCCCGTGTCCGTGGCGCGCACACACTCGTGTCCCATTGAGCCGCTGCACTTTGGGGAAAGACACGTCTCACACATTGCTCTCATTGCTCTGATACAAACAACGTGTTCCCCGCTGTCTGTTAGCTACAGTAGCTGCTAGCTACAGCATCAGAATGTAAACAGGAAGCTCGCACAATGCGGGAGTCACTGAAGTTAGTATTAGCGCCACCAGCTGGACCGAGCGTTGTACTACAGCACAGTTACTCAGGCACAGTTGAAAGAACAAGCATGAAAACCCGAGGAGGTTTTTGGAAAAGACTGTCTGTTACAACATTTCTATTTTGAGTAATCAGTTTTAAAAATGTGATATTTCATGTAAATAATGCATGTGTTTAATAGGATTGATATATTTGCGATGGGCCTTGTTTGTGTGATTTAAGTTATTTTGAAGGTGCATAGTGTCATTGTAAGTGAAGTTATTATAAAACTGTTAAGCTACATTTTCACTGTTTACAATGGCAGAGCCATCTCGTTTACAAGCATGTTTTAAGGCTTAATTCCTGTTACACTTATGCTCCATGGGGATTTAGATTAAACTGCATCAAGGAAAATCTATTTCTTTGTCAGTTGTAGTTTGTTTTTAAATAGAAAAAAATAAATCGATTAAAATCGAAAATCGGATTTGGTGTGAAAAAATCGGAGATTTTTTTTTTTGCCATATCGCCCAGCCCTACATATAAATTTGAAAAAAGTAAAATCATGAATGCAGGGATACTATGCAGTATAATGGTGGCTGAGTGGTTAGCACTCTCGATTCTCAGTAAAAAGGTTCGAATCCCTGTCGGAACCATAGACTGTAAATATCCACACCTTTCTCCGCCGTTGAAACTAATGTGTCACCACTTTTGCCTTCGGTGGGCTATTTCAAAATGGCCACCGGGCAGGAAAATTTGAAAATACACATTAATTTACTGATTTACCAAGTCTACAGCCGCTAAACTAGACTGGTACAAAAAAAAAAAAAAAACTCCCCTCAGCATTGACAAACATCTGGAACGTAGCTTTGGACCAAGAGTGACTTTTGGACCATCCTTTAAAGAGGTTTTTGAGAGAAAAGAATATACCACTTAAAATCATTGGATAATTTTCTATCTGGGTCCACCCCCACTGGCCCCGATTGAGATTGCAAGCATGTCAGTGCACGTGCTTATGGACCTTTTTGTTCAGAGCAGTGTCTTTCTGAGTGGAGTTTGCATGTTCTCCCTTTGCCTTTGTAGGTTTCCTCCAGGTGCTCTGGTTTCCCCTACCATTAAAACATGCACAATAGGTAAATCCTCCAGCTAAGGGTCTGACCAAGCCGAGCATCAACATGTGCAGATGGGTTCACTGAACTGCGAGGACCACTGCTCCTGACAGACGCCCTAGTGGCATCAGGATGGGTCAAATGCAGAAGATGAATTGTCCTATGGGGATAGTATATAAAGTGCACCTTTATCTTTACTTATGATATGCATGTGTGTTCTCCATGATTTGCTGAAGTTATTTTAGACTACAATGTTATTACGACTGCTAAAGGAGTGGTTCTCTGTCTCCGATCAAAAAGGCCGGAGACGTCTGTTCTACATAAAACACTTTGTTAAAGGCTGTAGTTTCATGTTTGCATGTGACTGTTTTCAATGACAAAGATGTGCCACGGCTCAAAAAGGACTCACTGCATCAATGAATATTTATGTGGCGCCACCTGCATCTGAAAACCAGATCCTGTCAGACCTCTGAAGCTGTGCAGGGCAGATCCTAGTTAGTACTGTGATGGGAGACCTCTGGGAACACCAGGTGCCACAGTGGGGCGGCTGCAGATGTACAGTGCCAAGCGGTCATTGTTTCTTCAGGCAAGACACTTCACACACATTAGAATGAGTCTGGTGTGTGTGGATGGTTGATGGTGGGAGGGGCCGATGGCACAGACTGGTTGCCTCACTTCTGTCAGTGTGCCCCGGGGCAGTTGTGGCTACAGTAGCAGTAAGTTTTCATTGATTGTGTAAGCAGCACATGGAGTTTGGAAACTGTTTTGTGTCATTCTATTCACGCAAGGCGCCATTTGCCTTTGTATCTTTATCTTTTCAAAATGCATAGAAACAGGGACACAAAATGGGAAAGAGCCCAGAAGATTTTCCATTTTCTGGCAGATAATAGTCTCAGCTCGGCTTCTCGTCAGAACAAAATATAGCACTGTGTACAAAACAAAAGTCAATTGTAATGATGAAAAACCAACAAATAACTGTGTTTTCTGATAAAATATTGGGGGAAGCTAACTCTCAAACCACAAACAATGAAACTATGTAAGAAAATTCACCCATTCAGTTGTGTCAGAAAGTGCTACCGAACTACAACAGTTTGGTAGCCCTTTCATTTAGCCCTCACTAATTAACAACTAATTGGTGTATAATTTAAGCTCTTGTTTGGTATGTATTAAGCGCTTATTAGCCCTTATTCTACATCTAACTAAGTACTACCTGACACTTTCCCATGTGGGTTAGGGTTAGGTTACATTAATTAGCACTTAATTAGCTGTTAATGAGGGCTAAAATCTTATCAACAGTTCTATCACTAGTTTTCACATGTAATTTTCGCCTTTGTCACATCTTTTGGATCAGCTTTTCTTCAGACAGAAAATGAAATAGAGAGGACCCTCACCCAGCCCTTAGCAATGAATAAAAGCAGTGATATAGGTCATTCCTGTCATAGTCCCTTTTTTGTTATAAAATCCATAAGATGTGTTCCTCGCTCTCAGCCCAAAGTGTCAAATAGTGACTGACGGGGTTGAAGGTCACATGTTTTACGATAAGGTAAAGACCGCATGTTGTGATCGGATTTGATCACAACATTTTACTTTGACAAGGCTCTTTCTGTTGGGACAAAAGATCTGTAGCCTGGTTCACACGGCAGGATAATTAGGCCGATTTAAGACCAGATTTACCCCTAATGACAATCTTGAGAACGCTCCGATTTTCCTGCCATGTGTGGTGTGTTAAGACTGCGTCGCTCAGAAGGACTTTGGGACGATCTCAAATCGGGGATATCCAACATGTTGGATTGTTTTGGCCCGATGTCTCTTGGTGTGTGGTGTCCTCCGGGGACAGACGAGCACGCTGCCAGTGGACTTTGGCGTGTAGCCAATCAGAAGATGAGGTGAAGAGGCGGCGAGGAGGCGAGGAAACACCGGAAAAGAATCATAACAGTCAGCGGCATAAATATATATAGTCCATGCTCGCGTTGTCTCCATTTCTTTGACCATCGCCTTTTCCTTTGATAAAACTTTTTCTCTGTTCAAAATAAACTGCAAACTATCACCACTGCATCCTGCTCGTCCTCCATGATTGTTTACTCTGAAGTCACGCTTGATCTCAAGAGATTTTGTGAGATTTCCGTCTGACCTGGGAAAGCTCGGGGCGGAAATCGATTCGTGTGTGATGTGTGTGGTTTGCGTGATTTTGCCGTGTGGCTGCACCACACACTGTACGACCAAAGTGGTTAGACCCTGGATTTTTTTATCTCCGTGTGTGGGGTCTCTCGGGTTAGGAAAATTGGCTGGTAATTTTCAAAATCGTCTCTTGTGGACCAGGCTTAACTTTTACCCCAGCGTTAATTGCCACTTGACAAAAGAACCACGATTTCCGGACTATAAGCCGCTACTTTTTACCCTCTGGCTTATATAGCGATGTGACTAATGTGTGTATTGTTATTGTGGTTATCAGAGCAGAGTTTATGGACTTATTATTTTGACTCCATGAGGTTTCAGTAGCTACAGGACTGTTTATTTCCTGTTGTGTTTTGTCATTTGTCAATCCCTGTCTCTTCCTTAATTCTACTTCCTGTTTTGTGAAGACCCGCCCTCCTGTGTCTCACCTGTGTGTCGTTAGTCTTGTGTATTCCTAAACTCCCAATCTCTAGTTTTTTTCCCCTGTTTGGTTCGTTTTTCTATGTCTATGCTGGATTTTGTATTTGAATTGATTGAATACTCATTTTGCAGTCCTGCGTTTTGGGTTTGGGTTTTCATTTTGCCACCACGAAAGACAGTCGATCATCGTCAAAATAGATGAAGGTGAATGAGCCATGGAAGCTAACGGTCATGGAAGCTAACGGTTAACTGATAACTACACTTGTCGTCCACATTACAACATGAAAACCTGCGGCGTTATTATTCAGCTGTGGCGTATATATGTGGAGAAGAGTAGATTTTCTGTCCAAATGTAGGTGGTGAGGCTTATACAGAGGTGCGCCTTATAGTCCAAAAAGCACGGTAATGATGAGGTCCGTGGCTCTTGTGCTGTGCAGGCCCAGAGGAAGCAGCTGTGGGTGGCGCTGATTGAGAAGGCTCTGGCCAAACTGCACGGCTCGTACTTTGCGCTGCAGGCGGGACGCGCCATCGAGGGTCTGGCCACGCTGACGGGGGCGCCCTGCGACTCCCTCATGCTGCAGGTCAGCTCCACCAACCCCCGAGAGGAGCCCATCGACACCGACCTCATCTGGGCCAAGATGCTGAGCTCCAAGGAGGCGGGGTGAGGCTGTGTGTGTGTGTTTGTGTGTCTGTGCATGTGTGAGCGCGTGTGTCTGTGCGTGTGTGTGTGTGTGAGCGTGTGTCTGTGCGTGTGTGAGCGCGTGTGTCTGTGCGTGTGTGTGTGTGAGCGTGTGTCTGTGCGTGTGTGTGCGTGTGTGAGCGTGTGTCTGTGCGTGTGTGAGCGCGTGTGTCTGTGCGTGTGTGTGTGTGAGCGTGTGTCTGTGCGTGTGTGTGCGTGTGTGAGCGTGTGTGTGTGTGTGTCTGTGCGTGCGTGTGTCTGTCTGTGTGTGTGTGTGTTTGTGTGTCTGTGCGTGTGTGAGCGTGTGTGTCTGTGCGTGTGTGTGTGTGTGAGCGTGTGTGTGTCTGTGCGTGTGTGAGTGTGTGTGTGTTTGTGAGCGTGTGTGTGTCTGAGCGCGTCTCTTTGTGTCTGTGTGGACTGTTTGTGTGCGAACTGTGTGTGTGTGTGTGTACGTGTGTGTCTGTGCGTTTGTGTGTCTGTGCGTGTGTGTCTGTGCGTGCATGTTTGTGTCTGTGCGGACTATGTGTGTGTGTGTGTGTACGTGTGTGTCTGTGCGTGCGTGTTTGGGTCTCTGTGGACTGTGTGTGTGCGGATTGTGCGTGTGTGAGGGTGTGTATTTGTGTGTCTATGCGTGCGTGTTTTTGTGTCTGAGCGGCCTGTGTGTGTGTGTGTGCGGACTGTGTGTGTGTGTGTGTGTGGCCTGTGTGTGTGTGTGTGCGGACTGTGTGTGCGCGTGTGTGTGTGTGTGTGTGTGTGTGGACTCTGTGTGTGTGTATGTGTGTGTGTCAGAAAATGATCCCCTTTTTTCTGTAAATGAACTTAAATGTGAAACCAAAACATGATGAAGACTCATTAAAACGTAACGAAGGCTTTTGTTTGTTCTCATTCAGATCAAATAAAACCATTTTCAAATGTAGTTTTGTTTTTTGTGGTTTCTACAACGATGAGTCAATTATCAACAAACAAAGCCTTTGTTTTACTTCACTCTCATTTTCACAGAACTCTTTGCTTTTAGAAAACACAAACTGAACTCATTTTTTTGAATCTCAAGAATTGGATTATTTTAAAACATTTTGTTAATTTAAACACTTAATGATGTTGTTAAGGAATCCTATAATTATAACTGAACTTGCTGTTAACTATTGTAATGTGTGCTGATGTTTTGTCCTGAAGCAGACGTCCATGAAAAGGAGTCTAAGTAAAGATGAAGAATTCTATTTGTTAGAAATAAGAATTTTTACTATAAATTGACTAAGAGCAGTGAAATCACATCATGTATATACTGTCTACAGATGTATCAATGCAGCTCATGAATTGCAAAGGTTTGGATCTATATCTGCTATAACTAAACCTCTACATGTTCAGAAAAACTCAAGGTTATATTTATTTGTGGAGCAGTTAATTCTCCAAAGCAAAATTCAAACTGATGGAGATGACAGTACAAAACAAGCATTGACCTATTTATAATTATATACATGTCATATTTTTTCTACTTTTTTATTTTGCATTTGTGTTTAGAAGTTTCCCATCAACTCCACCTTTTTGTTGTAAAAGAAAAGTAAAAACCAGCTCACACTCCGCTGCCGACACAAATCGTTGCCTTAACAGAAAAACGCGGTGCTTAAGTGGTTTCTCTCGGGACGATGGAGAGTAGTAAATAAATAGAATGTTTAGTAGATGCAGTGACATGTTTATTATTTAGCTATTACCGAGCTCCCCCTGCAACTTCAGCACCAGTCCAAAAGTGAGGAACGTTTTGATGCAGTGTTTGCTGTTTAATTCACGGCGAGATGATTAGAGCCACTTCCAAAAGCAAACACAAGGAACAAGGTAACAGGGTTCAAACTGCAGCGTGGGTCTGGAATGAAACACGACCGTATTAAGCGCTGTGTTTCGTGCGCTTATCACAAAATGCATGAGACAGTCACAGCTCCTCCATCTGTCAGAATGCACACACTGCTTTTACCGAACGTGAGAGAAGGGGATGAGGCTGTGACAGTAGAATGCATGTTTGTTTGCGTGCACAAGTTACGCAAAGACACGCACACAACATGCAGAGAAGAGTCCTGTGGCGTGTATGGTCTTCAATGACCATGTTACCGCGGCCATTCGCCGTGTTGTTGTTAGTGGCTCACAGCCGCTGGAGGTGCAAACTGCTGTCCAGAGCGGCCGCAGCTGCCCCGGGTCAGAACACTGCGGCCACGGAGGAGGTGGACTTCAGTTCATAGCAAACACGCGCATATTCTTTAAAAACTTGAATTCCCAGAGACCTGCTCTGTTTCCCTCTCACACACGCATTTGGACATGCGTTACACATTTTTTACGCGATTAATGAAAAATGTCATTTTGACAGCCCTAATAATAAGTCATGCTGAAGATACGAAAGTGATAAAGTACAGTAAAAGGGCAGACAGAATGTGACCCAAGGTCCCTGTTGCGGCCAATTTATTTACCTACTATTACCATATTTTATAAGTTTAATTGGTACTGTTATTTATAGTTTATTTATTGTTATTGGTACTATTTATTTAGGTGGTGTGGAAGGTTTTTGTTTACTGCCTTAAATGTCCAGTGGGGAGCGGACCTAGGGGTGGAGTGAGCCTGGGTTAATAAGCAAACCGTTTTTTTACGCACCACAAAGAACGACAGAGATCCGGGGCTCGCTCAGAGGAAGATTTCCTTTTGACACGCCTCGTTCTTTAATGCATCAAAACCGCACCAGCACATGGACACAATCACAAAATAAAATAAAACCCTCACACTGTTCCAAACATCAATAACAAAATGTTCTAACTTTTGTGACAATATCCAGGAATAACTGTGACCTACGCACGCACAGACACTCACAGATGCACACGCACATACACACAAACACGCACACACAGACACACACACACACTCACAGATGCACACGCAGTATATTTTGGAGCGAGGCCATGGAGAGACTTGTAGACAAAGAGTAATTTAGGCTCATAAAGTAATAATCTAATGAGTTCTGGTTTTGTTTGCAGCTTTCTGATGGGCGCGTCGTGCGGCGGCGGCAACATGAAGGTGGACGACGCCGTGTACGAGTCTCTGGGTCTGCGGCCGCGTCACGCCTACTCCATCCTGGACGTGCGCGACGTTCAGGGCTACAGGTGCCTGTCATCTTCTGTCCGTTTCAAGTCTGAGCTCGTCGTCAATAATTCAGCCGCGCTTCAGCCGCCGTTCTGATCGTCCGCCTCCTCCTACCTCGTATTACCTCTGTCCTTCTCCCTCCCTACATGTGCGCCAGAGCTTTCACATGAATTATAAAGACCGCATCAGCGTAAAATTGGACACACTTTGACATTCACCAGCCCGTTTTTATAGTGGGACTTAAATGTTACAATATAGTCGCTCGTTTTGAACATTTTCCCCTTACTTGGCAACCGGGGGAAATGCACTGTTTAACTTTTCTGCCTGGATTGAATTGCCAAAAATACCATTCTTGCTGTAAGGGTCAGGGTCACTTTTAAACAACATTTTGGGCAAAAAAACAACATTGAGACACACAGTTAGCAAAGTTACAAGCTGCTTCCTTAAACATTTACAATCTTATAAAATCCATCCCCGGACGATAAGGCGCTATCTTTTTCTTTGATCCCTGCGGCTTATATAGTTATGTGGCTAATATGTGTGTTTTTATTGTGATGGAGTTGTCAGAGCAGAGTTTATGGACTTATTATTGACTTCACCAAGTTTTAGTCGCTCTAGGACACCACTGGTTTATTGTCAAAATAGATGTAGGTGAATGAGTCATGGAAGCTGGCGGTTAAGCTGTCATTAAATCATGTTGTGACTGGTTAAAACAGTCGTCTCTCTGCTACAGCATGAAAACCTGTGGCTTATATTCCAGTGCGGCCTATACGTGGATAAAATGGATTTTCTTTTCAAATGTAGACGGTGCGTTTTACATACAGGTGCGCCTTATAGTCCGGAAAGTATCAATTAGTTACTTGCTCTCAGAACAGCTCTGTTCTATTGACAAGTTTTCACATGCATGTGTTTGTGCGCTCTGTCATATCAGCTTTTTCTGACAGAAATGTGAAAAAACAGAGGGAACCACCCTCGCCAATCAGCTTTCAGCCCAATGAGTCATACAGTGACTTCCAGAGCTCAGTCATACAAATATTTATATAATATTTTTTGCATAAGGTGAAAACAGCATGTCTGATTTGTTTACAAAATTAAAAAAATATGTTTTTGTGTTTTCCTACTTGCCTCCATCAGTAATGCAGATTTTAATTAAAAAATACAGATTGTTGAAGCGATATTTCAGCCCAGCCTTGAAGCGCGCGTCACACAAATATATTTCCCTATACACTGCATGCGTCTCAATTTCTCAGCAGTGAAATATATCGTGGCCCTTTTTCGGGAAGTCAAAGCGGCTTCTTGGAAGGAAACTGCAAACGTGCTATGTCATTAAAAATATTGACTGTCGGCCGTGCCTCAGCTCCGCACGTCACATATTCAATGGAATTTTACATCAAAATTGGAATCTTTGACTCGACATGGAAAAGGGGGCCAGCCTAATGCGCTTATTTATTTGGGTTATGAAGGAGTTGTAAGTTGTCTGCGAGAACGTTCGTCTGGGGGCGAGCGGAGCCATAAATCCTAGAAGTAATTTGTTCCAAGAGACGTACACAGTGCCGCGCTTTAATTTGCGGCTTTAACGCGATACGGTTTGGCCTGATCTGAAATGGTTTTTGGAGATGAACTGGTGCTGCTGCGAGGAAAGTGACTTATTCTCTGGCGCTGTTTGGAACGAAAACTTTACAATGTGCTTTTGTTGTTGTGGATTAATGCTACGACGGCTGCAGTCTGGCATTGGAAATAAGCAAGAGGAAAAGTTTGCTTTTGTTTCTCCTATTCACTTTTCATTCATTCAATGTATTCTTGTACAGCCCTAAATCACAACAGTAGTTTTCTCAGAAGACTTTACACAACTGTTGAATTCTCCAACTCGGATCAGAGAATAAAACGGTTCAAACTCAAGAAATGCAATCATAGAAAACGCATTGGTATTGGTCTAGGGCTGGGCAATATGGCTGAAAACTATATCACAATATAAGTAATTCATATCGGTCAATAAAGATATATATTGATTGTTTTTTTTGTTTTTTTTACCTTAATAAATACATTTGTTCTGTCGGCTAACACATGTTAGCAGCCCTTGTTTATAGTCACGGGGGAATGAGGCTAGAGGAATATGTTCACAAGCAGTCTCCCCCATAGTTAGTCCTGGTTTAGTCCTGGTTTAGTCCTGGTTTTGCTCCTGTTTTCGAGTGTCTTGTGTCCCTGTGACGGCTCCGTGCGGCTCTCTGATAGCCACACATGCTTCCAGAGGAAAAAGTTAATCTCTTGCTTTCGCCGAATGCATCGAGTCTCTGTGTCCACTGCCAGCAGTGTTCTTAGGATTAAAAAACCTTGTACCTTTGTCCCAGACAGAAATATCATCATTTTGGCCATATTTCAGATATCCTCTTTTTGTGTTGTGTGTAGCCGTACTGTCTGATAAGCATAAATCAGGAGCTTATTTTCATAGACCTCGATGTTAAAGCTGCACTAACTGACTTTATTTTTGTATTCATTACGAAAATGCTATCCATGTCCATGTAGTGCATTGGGATACACGTCCTTTTGAAGAATAATTAGCGCAGATTTGTGCTGGCGTGACATATTTTAGATCGAGTTTTGATGAAACAAGGAAGAGAATGTGTTTCGGGTCGCGGATTGTGACCAATCGCAGCGGACCACTAGCCCCCACTTTCGTGAGAAATCTACAGGTCCCTGTTAGCATAGACGGCTGAGTTAGCACAACAAGCGGCGGAGCTAACCTGAAGCTTTGTGTGTCTTCGTCACCGGTTACTGCTTACACAGCAAGACAGCCATCCAAAAGAAAGCCCCGTTCCTCCGCTCTTCCCGGTTCTATGGTTCTATGGTCACGCCATCCACGTGAAAATCCATATCCATGTATTATCCATATTGAGAGACGCTAGCTCCAACAACAACAGTGGGTGTGTGTGGGGGGCGATAGCTTCGTGGGTGCGGGGAGGGGAGCAGAAAGAGAGAGGCCAGCGAGTCCACGGCTTCAAAATCCCAAAGTCAGTTAGTGCAGCTTTAACTAAAGCGGCCCATGGCTTTGGGGATGTTGGTGTCCTTCGTCATCCTGAACTTTTTTTCATTTGAAAACTATAAATTTTCTATAAATCTACACTTTTTCAAGACAGACAACTACACAGAAATATAAGCCTAACAAAAACACAAAATGACAACAACAAAAACGCAAGGAAAAAAAAAATGTCCAATGATAAGGTGAATAATTTCTCCATACCTTTCTCAGTGCTTTTGTTTTCCTGTTCCTTTAAATCTTCTCTTAAGTGCAATAACTCGGCTCGCCCTCGCTCCTGTCTAGCTCCGCTCTGATTGGTCAAAACGCTCCCACGTCCCTCTGCGCCCGAGCATGAGAGCAACATGAGCGAGCGCCGCCATCTACAGTTATTGATTTGAACGGGCAGACATCTTGGAGACCCGCGGCTTGGATTTTACTGGTAGTGGAAACCAGAGCACCCTGAGGAAACCAGAGCTGACACAGGGAGAACATGCAAACTTCACAGAGAATGGCCCTAGGTGGAGGTTGGAAACAAACCCCAGGACCTTGCTGTGATGCGTGACGGCTAACCACTCAGCCATCCACAGACAGAACCTCATCCATGCACTGCTACCACAAAAATATTGAGACCTGGGGGAAGGAGAGGGGACTTTATATCGTCTTTATCATTTGAAAATTAGAAAACATTTATCGACAATATAGGGTGTTGGGAAAAAATAAGAGTCTGCTTCATCCAACCCCTTTTTCAAGCCTGTATTAGTGTAAATATATGAGAAATTGTGTTATATAGGTTTGTAATAAATCTATCTTGACTAACTAACAATAAATAGCTTCACACAACCACTATGAATGAGCGATGGGGTGGTCTTGCACAGTTTTTCCAATGGGGTTTTACTACAAATGGCGAATCAATTGTTAAATCTCGAATCATTTATCTCCAAAAATGGCCACCAGGGGGAGTAAACTTTCAACCACTCTATTGAAATGACAGCATTGTAGGATATTTGCTGATTTGACAGTGTGTGCTAATGCGTTTCATTTAAATCACTTTTTTTTTCCTTTCTACAGATTGTTGAGGTTGAGGAATCCGTGGGGTCGCTTCTCGTGGAACGGGAACTGGTCGGACGAGTGGACGGACTGGCCTCAGCACCTGCGGCACGAGCTGATGGCCCACGGCAGCAGCGAGGGGGTCTTCTGGATGGAGTACAGCGACTTCATCAAGTAAGAAAATAACACAGAAAGGTGTGGGATGGACCTCCGAGCTGTCTGCAGGAGCCTCTCTGACCTCTGCTGGTCGTCTAGGGTAACGCAGGTCTGGGAGAGGCGTTCATAGATTACACTGAGTCCCTATAATTCAATGCAATTCAATGTATTCTTGTATTGGCCTAAATCACAACAGCAGAAGTCTCAGATCACTTTACAAAACCGTTGAATTCGCCAACACAGATCAGAGAATCAAACAACACACAAGAAATGCAGTGAGTAAAAACACATAGAGAGTCCATAATGGGCAGATGACCTAACTCCATAAATGTTGTTGAATGTCAAGTGGATCGAGACAATAATGAATTTTATCTTTTATCTGGCTCTATATAAGATAGTATAAGCTTTATAATATATTCCACGCTTATTATAGAGATTAGAAATTTAGAGATGGTCGCTTATGTGAAATCGTCTTTGTCACAGATGTAGAAAATGGAAATGGTTACTTGATTAGTTACAAACAGTGGAGGTGTGTTGGTTGAGGTCAATATGGAGATTGTGGGAGTCTGGTGTCTGGCAGGAAACGTGTGAATCACTGTAAAAGGGTCTGGGGTTCCTCCTGAGCCCCTCATCGACCCTTTGATGGGGCTCCTGTGTTGGTGAATGTAAAAGTTTTTTGGAATCCTGTGTGAATTTATTTCTCCTGCGGGGGACAATAAAGGAGTAGCTTACAGATCCAATCCACCTGCTGGGGTTTAGCTAGAAAGGGTATCAACCTCTGTGTATTATCTATAACTACAGTACTTTATGACGAATGAATGACTACTTTTATTTTAATTCCAATAAATATCTGGCACTATTTTTTCCTATTAAACATCAGACGAGGCTAAATTACACCAAAGAAGACGAACTAAACATGGCTGACATCATTATATTCTAATTACTCTTCAAACTGTGGATACAATTACTATACAATACAATTTCTACATATGACGTTTTATGCAAAAATATTACAATTAAAATCTTACGTACCTCCCCTTTAATGCTGACTTTGTGTATGTAAATGAGACGGCCCTTACAGTTGATTTACCGCACGTCCCCTTTAAAGCAAGGCCATAAATGAGCTTTAAATATTAAACACATTGTCTGTAATCAGTCTCTTCGGTTCTGTGTGGTCTCTTTGTTGGGGTTTGGCCAGGGGCAGCCGGTCATTTATTATTCTACTTAAAACTTTACTTAAAATGATGAAGAAATATTACTCTAGCTCCTGTACCAACGCTTTCATGGGTCATTGATCAGCTCTTGGTCAGTAGTTTGAAGGCAAACTAATGGATTCCCTCCAAAAAAACTGCTTTCATTAAAATTAACTGATTCATACTGGTTTTATATTTAGTACATGCTCAATTTTATTAAAATAACTGAAATACATTTAGACTAAATACTAACTGATGCAAGTAAACAGTGTGTCACCATGGTAACAATCTCTTGTTCAAAGCTGAGGTTGCTCTGAACCAGTCGAGGACCAGTTGAGGACTATGTTTGGGCCAGTCGAGGACCAGTTGAGGACTATTTTGGGGCCAGTCGAGGACCAGTTGAGGACAGTTTTAGGGCCAGTCTAGGACCAGTTGAGGACTATTTCAGGACCAGTCTAGAACTTTTTTAGGATCAAGATAATTTCATAAATATAATGGCATAAAAATTAGAAGACCAAAAGCGTTCATTAGCGACGTAATTCCACTCCCAAAATGAAAAGCCGTCCAATTGACTGCTATGGGTGTCCTAGTGTTAAATCCTCAATCCTGCATCTATCAAAGTCTGTGGAATATTGTTATTGCGCTGGTGCTGGGGCCTGTCCCAGCGTGGGGAGCCCTGGGATAGATGCACGACAGTCGCTGGTTTTGCCTAAAGACAGGGCCGGTGAATATGAGGTCATTCATTCCTCGTCTCTCGCTAAATAAGACTCTCCGTAAGTCCTGTTGGACCGGTGTGGCTGTCCTCCTGAACCGCTGCGTCCTGAGAAATGTGCTCGGCCCTCCGCAAAGACCCCATTCGTCTTCAGGCCGTTTATTGTTTTCTCTTGACAGACAAATAATGCGGGAGCCCACCACGGCGTATGAAAGATGTAGTGCTCTCACTGACCGAGGCGGAGCGGGCGCTTGAAGAGACTAAATAAGAACGTTGCATCATTGTCGCTGTCTTCTTACATTTCTAAAGCTTTTGGTAAGATGCACTTGGGTGGAGTTTATACGGACTGGGCGCAGGAGAGAGTGTGTTGATTTGGTCTGCGCCACTCGGTCTGGATTAGGAGCAGAAATATTTCAACAAATCAGACTCTCTCTGCTGTGGTTGGTTTGTTTTTGTTTTTATTTAGATCCATATTTGCTACAAAATATACAGTCGCTATTCTCCATGGAGATTGTCAATGTCCACACTCACACATACTTGCACACATACACATATACACGTTCACGTTTACACACACATACATAAACATACACACATGAACACACATGAACACACACTTAAAATACACTCACACACATAAACATGCACACACATACATACACATACACACATTCACACACATACACACATTCACACACATAAACATACACTCACACACGTACACACACACATACATAAACATACACGCACTCACACACGTACACACTTAAAATACTCTCACACACATAAACATACACACACTCACACACATAAAATACACTCACACACATAAATATGCACACACTCACACACATACATAAACACACACACACATAAACATACACACACTCACACACATACACACACTCACATAAACATACACACACTCACACACATAAATATACATACACATACACATACTTACACACATAAACACACACACACATAAACATACACACACTCACACACATAAATATACATACACATACACATACACACACTCACACACACACTCTCACACATACACACACACACACTCTCACACATACACACACACACATACACACACACACACATACACACACTCACACACATAAAATACACTCACACATAAACATGCACACACATGCACATACTTACACACATAAACATACACACACACTCTCACACATACACACACTCACACACACACACGGCAACATTAATAGCCGCAGTAAAATCAATAACGAAGTCAATTTAAAACAAATCAATTCCATTCTTCAGTGACTTCAATGCCAAATTCTTCAATGCCTCGGAGTCTTGCCGTCTTGTCTCTGCTGCTGAAAGAAGAATATACTGTACGTCAGTGATACAACGATCTGATTCAGTCGTGTGTTGTCGGAGAGAGAGAATAGAAATGTTAAACAATTGTCACAGTAAAACGCCTGTGCTATAAAAGCCTCCAGTCAAAAGGCAAACGACTGAAGTGGTCCCGGGGGTGGCGTCTTTGTGGAAGGCAGGTCTAAGGCTATGCTAATGTGTAAAGGGTGCCCTGTGACGCATACAGAGGAGCGGGTGGGATGTCTCTGTTGTTCCGTTGTTAAGGCGGTGTGTGTGTGTGTGTGTGTGTTTCTGTCCTCCTGCAGGTACTTTGACTCGGTGGACATCTGTAAGATCCACTCGGACTGGCAGGAGGTGCGGCTGCAGGGCTGCTTCCCCAGTAAAGCCAGCGGCCCGGTCACCGTCACCGCGCTCACCGTGCTGGAGAGGACGGCGCTGGAGTTCGCCCTCTTTCAAGAAGGAAGCAGGTACAAACTCTTTAATAGATGGATACATAAATAATTACATAGGTAGATACATAGTTACATACATAGATAGATAGATACGTAGATACATTTATAATGACAGATACATAGATACATTTATATCTGGGGCGGCACGGTGGCTGAGTGGATAGCACTCTCGCCTCTCAGCAAGAAGGTACTGGGTTTGAATCCCAGTCGGACCAGGGTCTTTCTGAGTGGAGTTGGCATGTTCTCCCCGTGTCTGTGTAGGTTTCCTCTGGGTACTCCGGTTTCCCCTACCACTAAAAATATGTACAATAGTTCTGGCATGCGCCTCCTGTTCGGCGACTCCGCTCCCATCTCTGTGTGGAGTGAGAGGACAAATGCCCAAAAAATAACAATTGTAAACCGCTTTGTGACTCTGGTCTGTGAAAGGCGGTATATAAATAAAGATTACTTACTTACTTACTATATTGACGGATACATAGATACATTTATATTGGCAGATAGATACATCGATACATTTATATTGACAGATAGATGCATCGATACATTTATATTGACAGATAGATGCATCGATACATTTATATTGACAGATAGATGCATAGATACATTTATATTGACAGATAGATACATCGATACATTTATATTGACAGATAGATGCATAGATACATTTATATTGACAGATAGATGCATAGATACATTTATATTGACAGATAGATGCATCGATACATTTATATTGACAGATAGATGCATAGATACATTTATATTGACAGATAGATGCATCGATACATTTATATTGACAGATAGATGCATAGATACATTTATATTGACAGATAGATACATCGATACATTTATATTGACAGATAGATGCATAGATACATTTATATTGACAGATAGATAGATACATAGATTGATAGACTATATTCTGGATCAAAGGGGTTATTGCTAAATATTGGTTTAAATCAGGAATGTCCAAAGTCCGGCCCGTGCGCCAATCACGGCCCTAAGTGTATTGTTATGTGTCCGTCTACCTAAAGTTCACAGCGTCGTCAGCTTTTCTTCTTGGACATAAGTATGAACATTTAGAGTTCGTTTATGTGTCCCATCGTGGGGAACGGTAGGTTACAGAACAGTAGAGCTCTTTGCTAAAATAAGATGAAATATGCTAAATAATAACTTCAGCAAAATAAAGGGGTTAAGTATAAAATCTCTAACTTTAGCATAATAAAGAAGCATGTTTAAAACACTGTGTATTCTAGTGCAAGAAATATAAAGTATGTAGATAGACAGATTGATAGAAACTTTATTGATCCTCTATTGGAATTCAGGTGTCCAGCAGCAGAAAACTCATCCAGGTCTGTTGTTCAGTCTGAGAGCCGAAGAAACAAAGGATATCATGAAAATAAATATGTGCCTTGTATGGAAGCATCCAACGATATATACTACAAATGTATTCCATTTTGTAGTTAATCAATTATTTGTCAATTGTAACGACGACCTCAGCGTGTTTGTGGTAACCCGCCCGTGCTCTCCTGCAGACGCTCGGACACGGCCGACAGCCACCTGCTGGACCTGTGCATCATGGTTTTCCGCGCCTCGTTCGGCAGCAGTAACAAGCTGACCCTGGGCCGCCTCCTGGCCCACAGCAAGAGGGCCGTCAAGAAGTTTGTGGGCTGCGACGTGATGCTGGAGCCCGGAGAGTACGCCGTGGTCTGCTGTGCCTTCAACCACTGGCAGATGAACGCCGGCGGCTCTGCGGGGCCCTCCACCCCCAGTACGTGCTCCTGCTGCTGCTGCTGCTGCTGCTAACGTCTGAGGAGATGCACTTTACTCACAGAGACGGGCTTTAGTGATCACAAAGAGCTGCTAATCTGAGCCTTGAGAGTCTGTCTAAGTGGATAGACGACCCTCGGTAGCCACTATAGACATATACGATCATAAATGGGAACAGAGAATCTAAAACATGAGTAAACAGTGTTAATTGTAGAAGCTGAGAGCTACAGGGGTAAAGGGGATAATGACCAATATTATTATTCTAAAGATATCACTCATGTCTTTACTGCTTCTGCATGTTCCTTCTGTAATGGCTTTCAAAAGTACTTCTCAATTACTATTCCACTTGAACATCTTTACCTTGTTTTATAATAATGTACAAGAATAATGTAAAAGAAAAGCCACAACAAAGAGACTGCCATCTGTGAAATGAAAGCAATAAGAGACATGGGTTTTGTTATAAAGTTCAGGGTTCGACTAAAGTTGGTTCTATTGATTGATATAAACAAATAGATAATAATAAATCGTTTATTAACAGCGCTTTTTAGACACTTAAAGTTGCTTCACATGTTATACGTTGACGCCTTACACAGTGGTGATAAACTACTATTGTAGCCACAGCTGCCTTGAGTCACATTGACAGAAGCGAGGCAACTTGTCTGTGCCAACGATCCCTCCGACCAACACCAATCATTCACACACACACACACACCAAACACCTTTCAATTTGGGTGAAGTATCTTGCCTAAGTTAGGCACTTCATAGTCGCAGTTGCCTCACTGTAGCTCCTGTTGGAGCTCCCAGAGGTCTCCCATCACTATACCAACCAGGCCCTGTCCTGCTTAGCTCCAGAGGTCTGACACTATTTGGCTTTCACATGCAAATACGGCCACAGTTGTAGGTGTCACTATGTATCTATATCTATGGATGGATGTATGTAGAAATGGAATAGGTCCAGCCTGTATTGTTTCGCTTTCTCTTCGGTCTGATACTTTTGTATGGTCTGTTAAAAAAAAAAAAAAAACAGTTGTCAGTCAATCAATCATTTATTTTTATAGCACAATTTGTGTACAATGTGATTCAAAGTGCTTCACAAGAGCAATTTAAAAACACAAAATGAATATAAAAAAGCAAGCCACTGTACTGTATGTATGTCACCCATTACCCTAACACTAACCCATTACCTTTCCATGTGGTCTCTTTACACACTGGGGACTTTTGCAAAAAATTTCCAATGTGGTTTTACTGCAAATGGCAAATAAAATGTATCTGAATCTAATGTCTTGTCCCCTGTGCAGTCTCGAGCCCCACCAGCGCCGCAGTGACCAGAGCGAGCCAGGACTTCCCCGGCTACATCCTGGCCATCTACAGCTCACGGCAGGTGATGGTGGAGCAGGTGGAGGCGACCGCCACCACCCTGGCCGACGCCATTATCCTCCTGACCGAGAACAAGGGAGAGAGGCACGAGGTAAACTCTGTCAAACACTCAAACTCCTCCCTCTGGCTCCTCTCACATGTGCCGTACGTGCCTTTATCAGCCGCTGGCAGTCGCGCTCCTCCAGACACGTCTCTTGGCTCTTTCTAAACCGGGACTTGTTAAGAGTTTTGTCGCTTTGGCTGCGGTTTCAGAAAGAGACGAGGCTTTTTTTTTAAACACTTTGTTAAATCATTCTCGAATTCAGCGCTTCTGGAATTTCCCATTCGCTCGTGGGACTCTTCTGACAGCAGCAATTAAAACATGTAGGGCTGGAACTTATACAAATGTGACCTAAAAAAAGGATATACATACACATTTGTTTCCAGAGTCCATTGCAGTTGATTTCACACATAAATGAATATAAACTCAGCCCTAACTGCAGATTGTGAACTCAACCTTTTTTTATTCTTCTTTTTTTGTATTAAAGTTAAGGCGCTTGAAGACAGTCTGAAGTTTAAGGCAGTTAACTGTGTAATTATGTTCAGTATAACAGGTTTTATATATATATATATATATATATATATATATATATATATATATATATATATATATATATATATATATAATCATAGACTGTATATATTAATGGACAGAGTCACGCCTATCTCCACCGTTCTAACTAATGGGCCAAAAAATGTGCTCTACTGGAGCAATCCAAAATGGCCGCGAGTGGTCCCGTCCACAAGAAAATTGTGAAAAAACGCATCTGTGCATGCGTCAGCCGGCGTAACTTCATTCATTTGAACGCGAGACTTAAAAAATTCACAGCAAGTAAACTAGAGTGGACCAAAAAATCCACCCCCCTCAGCATCGACACACATGTGGAACGGAGCTTTGGGCCAAGAGCCAACTTTTGGTCCATCCTGTAAAGACGTTTTCGAGAGGTCTGCTAACGCTTTATGTTAGCATTGGCTAATTCTTCTTCTGGGTCCACCCCCATCGCCCCGGGGTGGTATTGCAGCATGTCAGCGCACGTCATTTTGGCCACTTTTGAGCCGGGACCCTCCCCCACTGATATATATATATATATATATATATATATATATATATATTTTTTTTTTTTTTTTTTTCAAAATGGCCCCTGCGGCCATTTTGAAACTGCCCATAGACAGCGGCTAGATAGGCGTGACTACGTCCGTTAATATTTACAGTCTATGCTTTCTTCAAAATGGGTTTTAAAACATGACCAACTCCCTGAGAGAAAACAAAAACTAAAACCTAAATGTTTTTGTCCAAAAATGGCACCCTTAATTCTCACATCTTTTCAGTGACTGATGTGGGCCTGCTTCATGCTGCAGATCTTGTCAAATCTGGGTCCCGTGCACCCCCTGCAATTGCTCTGCGCCCCCCCACTTTGGGAACCACTGAAAAACTCGATTATCTTTTGAAGTGGCAGGACTTGATGATTGACGTCTGACTAAAAGCGTTTTGCGTCGCTCTAAAAGCCTCACTCCTCTCTCGCTGTGTCTTTAGGGCCGAGAGGGCATGACCTGCTACTACCTGACCCACGGCTGGGCGGGGCTCATCGTGGTGGTGGAGAACCGTCACCCCAAGTACTACCTCCATGTGTCGTGTGACTGCACCGACAGCTTCAACGTGGTGTCGACGCGCGGCAGCCTCAAGACCATCGACAGCGTACCGCCGCTTCACCGGTAACACGCCGCCTCCACCTACTATTGGTTCCTATCTGTGTCTTATACTGTTTGTGACAGAATTATAGAATATGTGGTGATTCAAGAGGGATTATTGATGTGTGTTTTGATAGTCCAGAAGAAATAGGAACTGAGGATTTGAATGAAAAACTACTCAGAGAGACCAGAGAGAGACCAGAGAGAGACCAGAGAGCGAGAGACCAGAGAGCGAGAGACCAGAGAGCGAGAGACCAGAGAGCGAGAGACCAGAGACCAGAGAGCGAGAGACCAGAGAGCGAGAGACCAGAGAGCGAGAGACCAGAGAGCGAGAGACCAGAGAGAGAGAGACCAGAGAGAGAGAGACCAGAGAGCGAGAGACCAGAAAGAGAGAGTCCAGAGAGAGAGTCCAGAGAGAGAGAGTCCAGAGAGAGAGAGTCCAGAGAGAGAGAGAGTCCAGAGAGAGAGAGAGAGCAGAGAGAGAGAGAGACCAGAGAGAGAGAGACCAGAGAGAGAGAGTCCAGAGAGAGAGAGTCCAGAGAGAGAGAGTCCAGAGAGAGAGAGTCCAGAGAGAGAGAGTCCAGAGAGAGAGAGTCCAGAGAGAGAGAGTCCAGAGAGAGAGAGTCCAGAGAGAGAGAGTCCAGAGAGAGAGAGTCCAGAGAGAGAGAGTCCAGAGAGAGAGAGAGTCCAGAGAGAGAGAGAGTCCAGAGAGAGAGAGAGTCCAGAGAGAGAGAGAGTCCAGAGAGAGAGAGAGTCCAGAGAGAGAGAGAGTCCAGAGAGAGAGAGAGAGTCCAGAGAGAGAGAGAGAGTCCAGAGAGAGAGAGAGTCCAGAGAGAGAGAGAGGTCCAGAGAGAGAGAGAGAGTCCAGAGAGAGAGAGAGAGTCCAGAGAGAGAGAGAGAGTCCAGAGAGAGAGAGAGTCCAGAGAGAGAGAGAGTCCAGAGAGAGAGAGAGTCCAGAGAGAGAGGGACCAGAGAGAGGGACCAGAGAGAGGGACCAGAGAGAGGGACCAGAGAGAGGGACCAGAGAGAGGGACCAGAGAGAGGGACCAGAGAGAGGGACCAGAGAGAGGGACCAGAAAGAGAGGGACCAGAGAGAGAGAGAGACCCGAGAGAGAAACCAGAGACCAGAGATGAAAGACCAGAGAGAGAGAGACCAGTCTGTCTTTCTGGCCCTGTCTCTGTCTCCTGGTCCTTTCTCTCTCTCCTGGTCCCGTCTCTCTCTCCTGGTCCCGTCTCTCTCTCTTGGTCCCGTCTCTCTCTCCTCCCGTCAGATCCCGTCAGACCTTTGGGCATTGCCTGGTTAGTACTGTGATGGGAGACCTCAGGGAACACCAGGTGCCGCAGTGGGGCGATTGTGGCTGTAAAGTGCCAAAACTGTTGTTGCGTCCTTAGGCAAGACACTTCACCCACATTAGAATGAGTCTGGTGTGTGTTTGTGTGTGAGAATGGTTGGCGGCGGTGGTGGGAGGAGCCGATGGCTCACACTGGTTGCCTCGTTTCTGGCAGTGTGCCCCAGGGCAGCTGTGACTACAATAGTTTATTACCACTGAGTATGGAGTGAAATAATAATTAGTGTCTTTGAGTGTTCAGAAAAGCGCTGTACAAAACCAAAGCATTATTATGATTATTATTATTGTTATTATTGTTATTATGCTCCTCCTCCGAGTCCCAGCAGGAGGCCAGTCCCTGTGCTCCTCAGAGTCCCAGCAGGAGGCCAGTCCCTGTGCTCCTCAGAGTCCCAGCAGGAGGCCAGTCCCTGTGCTCCTCAGAGTCCGAGTTAGTTCATATGAAGAGCACGCGGAGCTAAAGCAGGCCTCTCTCTGTCTCCCTCTGCAGGCAGGTGCTGGTGGTGCTCTCACAGCTGGAGGGGAACGCCGGCTTCTCCATCACTCACCGCTTGGCGCACCGGAAAGCAGCTCAGGCCTCGCTGGGAGACTGGACCCCCACCAAGGCCACACACAGCCCCCAGCTCACCCCGGACATTGACGGCCTGCACCGACCGCGGCCGCTATGACAACCGCCCTTAAGAAACGAACGCACGCACACACTCACGGTGAAGCAATGACCTGTCTGAGCACTGGAAGGCCCCAAGTCTTACTGAATGTATTTAGTTTGTTCTTACAAGCAACCTTCCTAAAAACAACGACCCAACCATGGGATTCGGGACGTGCCATTTTCCAGGGGGAGATTCTCGGGATTATTTAACCCAGTCCAGACTACTACTGCTTATTTTCTACACGTGCTGTACGGGGAACCCACCATGATTTTTTTTTGCGATGAGCGCTGAAACTACTGAGCCATTTTTTATTGTTTTTCCCCTCGCAGCCCAAAACCCAGGAGCCAATCAGCAAGGCCCCCCTCATGAGATCGCCTGGTCTGATTGGCCGAAGCTGAAAATACAAAGTGGTACCGAAAGAGCCATACATGTCTTTCTTCTTGATCTGTCACCGCTCACATCTGCACATGTATAACCACAGGAAAAGCCATTATTCACTGCAAAAAATGATTAATATGAGGTAATAAATGTTTGAATCGAGGGTTTTTTATCTTAATTTGAGCACATTCTGACTGTGTTAAAGCAAGATTCGCCAATGAGACAAAGCCATTTAGTATTATTTTAAGAATTATTGCGGTATTTTCTCATTCCAAGTGAGACTTTTCTTGTATCTTTTTAAAACAAGATCATTTTGCTTGGTCCCATTGACAAATCTTGGTTTAAGGCAGTCAGAATGTGCTCAAATTAAGACACATTTTGTCCAATTTAAGCAATTTTCCACTCATTTTTCATCACTTTTTGCCGTTTGCTCATTGTTCTGTAGATTGGTTGTTTTTTTCTAGCTCAGGACTAAATCTGTGAGGCGTTTAGCTGGATTTAGATGCTTTTCCCTTTGAAGATGTCGCTGGATTTGTGGTTAGTTCTGTTTTGATTACAACACATGATTACTCTCCCCCCACAAGAGGTCCCAGCGCTGGATCTGGCGCCCCGTCGGCATAGCGATGCAGGAGCTCTAGGGGAATTAGCAAAAGCTGTTATTTTTTTCTTCGGTTTTGTCTTTTGTTTTCACTGTTTTAAAGTGAAATAAATGCCCAGACCTGTTGAGACCACGTGATTCCTCGAGGAGCCCACTTGAAAAATGTGTGTAACGAAAACATTTACAAACAAGGTTTTTCTCTCTCGTTTGATTTTCTCTCTAAGTAGTGATTCGTGAAACTGCGGCCTTTGGTGCAGATGTGGTCAAAGGTCTTCACACCCAAGCGGACGTCGCAGAAAGAAAATCTGGGTCATGTTTTGGAGATTATGAATGATTCCTGATGATTTTCCTACACATGGTCACACATGGTTCTTCAGACCAGGAAGAGAGATCAACAAGAGAATCCAGGGAGAGAAACCTGGGAGAAAGACCAGGGAGGGAGACCAGAGAGAGAGACCGGAGATGGAGACCGTAGAGGGAGACCGTAGAGAGAGACCAGAGAGGGAGACCGGAGAGGGAGACCGGAGAGGGAGACCGGAGAGGGAGACCGGAGAGGGAGACCGGAGAGGGAGACCGGAGAGGGAGACCGGAGAGGGAGACCGGAGAGGGAGACCGGAGAGGGAGACCGGAGAGGGAGACCGGAGAGGGAGACCGGGGAGGGAGACCGGGGAGGGAGACCAGGGAGGGAGACCAGTGAGAGAGACCAGGGAGGGAGACCGGAGAGGGAGACCAGGGAGGGAGACCAGTGAGAGAGACCAGGGAGGGAGACCAGAGAGAGAGACCAGAGAGAGAGACCAGGGAGGGAGACCGGAGAGGGAGACCAGGGAGGGAGACCAGAGAGAGAGAGACCAGAGAGAGAGACCAGAGAGAGAGAGACCAGAGAGAGAGACCAGAGAGAGACCAGAGAGAGAACAGAGAGAGAGATGAGGTTCTTTCCTCTGATGCTAAAGCCGCTCGTTCCTGTAAATTCCTGGGCTGCCTCGCATGAGCTGCAGGTTTGGAGATCTCCCCACAGATCTCAGACAATGTTGTAACATGTTTAATTGACGACCACCACAGTTGATTCATAATCTCCAAATCAGTGCCATCTCTGGCTCGGTGTGAAAACCCGTCGGCACCTCTGTATATCTTGCCTTTTATTCGACTGTGTTTCGCCGTCTGCTCTTCCCTTTGAAGTACCATGCCCGCTGTTTAGGACCAACGCTTAATATTTATTTTATTTTAGTGATGTAGAAATTCCCTTCACTCTTTTGAGATCATTTTTACACAAACCTACAAAAATAACTTGATTTATTGATTTATTTACAAACATTAAACTCTGCAGCCTTCATTAACAATATAACCAAAGCAAAGTCTTTCTTTTCACATTATTTTGAGCTGAAATTGTCACATTTCCAAAGGCACTAAACGACATCTCAGGTCGCACTAACGCACCACGGCCCACTGGTTGAAAAACACTGGTTTGGACATATACCGTTTACGATTTCTATTAATAGAAAAAAAAAATTTACTAAGTGGTACAGAATCCTAGTAACCAGGGGCTCTGGGGGAACGTGAGAAAGCTTACTATTATTATTATATTATATTATAAAGCTTACATGTCACTATGGCAACGTGCTAGATTAATATTTTCAAAAAAAGAAAAAACAAATATATGAATGAACTGTGTTTAAATGTATTACACTGAATAGAACTCAAATATGGGTCATTTTGTTAGGTGTTCAAATGATCTAAAAACAGTCTCTTTCTGATTTCTCTCTGGTCCATCTCTCTGATCTCTCTCTGGTCTCTTTCTCTGGTCTTTCTCTGGTCTTTCTCTGGTCTCTCTCTGGTCTCTCTCTGGTCTCTCTCTCTGGTCTCTCTCTCTGGTCTCTCTCTGGTCCCTCTCTCGTCCCTCTCTCTGGTCCCTCTCTCTAGTCCCTCTCTGGTCTCCTTCTCTGGTCTCTCTCTGGTCTTTCTCTGGTCTTTCTCTGGTCTCTCTGGTCCCTCTCTGGCCTCTCTCTGATCTCTCTCTGGTCCCTCTCTCTAGTCCCTCTCTGGTCTCCTTCTCTGGTCTCTCTCTGGTCTTTCTCTGGTCTCTTTCTCTGGTCTTTCTCTGGTCTCTCTCTGATCTCTCTCTGGTCTCTCTCTCTGGTCCCTCTCTGGTCTCCTTCTCTGGTCTCTCTCTGGTCTTTCTCTGGTCTCTTTCTCTGGTCTTTCTCTGGTCTCTCTCTGGTCTCTCTCTGGTCTCTCTCTGGTCTCCTTCTCTGGTCTCTCTCTGGTCTTTCTCTGGTCTCTCTCTGGTTTCTCTCTGGTCCCTCTCTCGTCCCTCTCTCTGGTCTCTCTCTGGTCTTTCTTTGGTCTCTTTCTCTGGTCTCTCTCTGGTCTCTCTCTGGTCCCTCTCTGGTCCCTCTCTCGCCCTTCTCTCTGGTCCCTCTCTACAATAAAGTAAATCTTAAGCGTTGGCCTATGTGTCATACACTTTGGGACCAGCACGACCCCCCTCCCCCCTCACACATCGGTACCACGGTCTGAACATTCCACTTCACTCTCCCCACGACCAGTGCGTATTATTTATGTCCGATTTACGGTCTCCTTCCAGTTCCGCTCTGAACACAAGTAGCCTGATTTTTACCTAATTTTTCTCCGGCCAGTTGCGATCCTCAGCCCCCTCACAGACACAGCTGACCAGAACGGGAACAGACGATGGTACGAGAAACTGCACTTTTGACGGTCGTGTCTCACTCTCGGAGACGGAGCTGTCGGCGACGGTAGCGCGCGGCGTCACGGCTCACCACAAGGTCCTCTCTTCGCACAACCACTTTTGTTTTTGTACAAATATATATCACAGCGTAACGGCAAACCCAAAACTTGAAGCTATGTGGGGCGAATGTTTTCCAAAGAGAACGTACGGGGCGTGTGTGTGTGCGTGTGTGTGTGTGTGTGACAGGTCTAATTTATTTGTATATGATTTGTAGCTTCTGAATGATTTTGGAAACCTGCACTGAGAACTCCCCATCTCCGTCACCGAAACACATCTGCCAACTTCTATAAAAACGAATCCATTCTCACTTTAATAATTGTTTTTTTTGTTTTTTTTCTCTGGTTTCTTGTAAATTGTACAGATTTCCAACAGAAACGACAAACTCCACAGAAAACTTAAATTATACTATTACGGTTTTGGCTGAACGCACGGATCTCCGATGAATGTGATATATTTTAATAGTTTTGTTTGGGGATAAAATGGCTTCTTGTGTAAAAAAAAAATGTATGTTTCGTTTTCAATCTCAGGGTCTAATGGACCAAATAAATTTTGTAACTAAAGTAAAGATGAGGTTTTTGTGTGTTTGTTTGAATTCATTTAAAAGAGTCACTCTGGTCTCTCTCACTGCTCTCTCTCTCTGGTCTCTCTCTCTCTCTCTCTGGTCTCTCTCTCTCTCTCTGGTCCCTCTCCCTAGCCTCTGTCTCTGGTTTCTCTCCCTGTTCCCTCTCTCTTTCTGGTCTTTGTCCCGTTTGTCACCCTGGTCTCTCTCTGATCTCTGTCTGGTCTCTCACCCTGGTCTCTCACTCTGTGCTCTCTCTCTCCCTGGTCTCTCACTCTGCTCTCTCTCTCCCTGGTCTCTCACTCTGCCCTCTCTCCCTGGTCTCTCACTCTGCCCTCTCTCTCCCTGGTCTCTCACTCTGCTCTCTCTCTCCCTGGTCTCTCACTCTGCCCTCTCTCTCCCTGGTCTCTCACTCTGCTCTCTCTCACTCTGCCCTCTCTCTCCCTGGTCTCTCACTCTGCCCTTTCTCTCCCTGGTCTCTCACTCTGCTCTCTCTCTCCCTGGTCTCTCTCACTCTGCTCTCTCTCTCCCTGGTCTCTCACTCTGCTCTCTCTCTCCCAAGTTTCACTCCCTGGTCTCTCTGGTTTCTCACCCTGGTCTCTCTCACTCTGCTCTCTCTCTCCCTGGTTTCTCACTCTGCTCTCTCTCTCCCTGGTTTCTCACTCTGCTCTCTCTCTCCCTGGTCTCTCACTCTGCTCTCTCTCACTCTGCCCTCTCTCTCCCTGGTCTCTCACTCTGCCCTTTCTCTCCCTGGTCTCTCACTCTGCTCTCTCTCTCCCTGGTCTCTCACTCTGCCCTTTCTCTCCCTGGTCTCTCACTCTGCTCTCTCTCTCCCTGGTCTCTCACTCTGCTCTCTCTCTCCCTGGTCTCTCACTCTGCTCTCTCTCTCCCAAGTTTCACTCCCTGGTCTCTCTGGTTTCTCTCCCTGGTCTCTCTCACTCTGCTCTCTCTCTCTCTGGTCGCTCTCTCCCTGGTCTCTCACTCTGCTCTCTCTCTCCCTGGTTTCTCTCCCTTGTCTCTCTCACTCTGCTCTCTTTCTCCCTGGTCTCTCACTCTGCTCTCTCTCTTCCTGGTTTCTCTCCCTGGTCCTCTGGTTCAAATGCACAGAATGAATTGCCCTACAACAGAGATAAACAAAAGGCTCCGTCACCTGTAGAATTGAACTCAGACCTGGCATCCCATGGACACACTGCACATTTAGACACATACCAGGAAATAGCCAGCTCCTTGTTCCCAACCTAAGCCTCTCATATTTAAATAGGCTTTTTTTTACCACTTGGTTACACACAAAAAAGATCAAATATGAGGTAATAAATGCTTGCAGTGTAAGAAGTAGCTCTCAGTCATTTTGCTCCTGAGAAAGAAGCTCTCTGGGTGAAAACAAGCTGCTGACAACCTGCCTATCATCATCGCCCCCAAAGCTGAGACCTCCCTTGCACCCCAGCCCCACAGAGATACACACGCTTTGCTAAAAATGTCCTGGGCTCTGGTTCCTCTGGTCTCTTCATGGTCTCCCCGGGGTCTGCACAGCACCTCCCCTGAGCAGCAGCAACACCCTGAGGACCCACGAGCCAGGAGGGGAGTCGCAGTAGACACCAGCAGCAGACACCAGCAGCAGACCAGCAACAGACCAGCAGCATGAGGTGATGTCAATCTGCTCCTGACGCACAAAACTTATCAGCAACACAAAAGGTAGGACTGTCCCTTTGGATGCAGCTGTAGTAATAGCCACTTTCTGCCTTTGGGCTTTCACTATAAAATCCCATACACTGCAAAAATAGAGTGGCTTAAATAGAGTGGTTTTTATCTTAATCTGAATGTGTTAAAACCAGATTTTCAAATGGGACAAAGCCATTTAGTCTTTTATCAAGAACTATTGCATTATTTTCTGATTCCAAGAGAGACTTTTCTTGTATCTTTTTAAAACAAGATCATATTGCTTTGTTCCATTGGCAAATCTGGGTTTTAAAGCTCAGTCAGAATGGGTTGAAATTAAGACACATTTTGCCAAATCAGAGCATGTTTTTACATATTTGTTTCACTTTTTGCAGTGTATACAGTATTTCTGCCAAAACTACTTTTCATGATTCATTCCATGTTTTTACAGTTGGATTGGTCTCAGAGAAATGTCTGTGTGTGTGTGTGTGTGTGTGTGTTTGAAAAATTCCTTTGTGTGTGTCTGTGTGTGTGTGTGTGTGTGTGTGTGTGTGTGTGTGTGTGTGTGTGTGTGTGTGTGTGTGTGTGTGTGTGTGTGTGTGTGTGTGTGTGTGTGTGTGTGTGTGTGTGTGTGTGTGTGTGTGTGTGTGTGTGTGTGTGTGTGTGTGTGTGTGTGTGTGTGTGTGTAAGCAGCTGCATTAGTGTGTTATCAAGAATAGCTTTTTAAACCGCTTGGAGTCATGCAGAAGCCATTTGCTGGCACTGCTGCTGTCCCTGTGAGCCACATATTTGGGCTGATACCTCGGACCTGCCAAAGTCACGTGCGCAGTGCTTTGTGTGTCTCTGGGAGAGGGGCTCAGAGTGATGGGCACAAACTGGTGTCATCCTGAAGGAAAGTCGCTCACACACATAACATCCTTCTAAAGTTCATTTATTTTTGTGAAACCGAGAGAATGAGACTTGTCACCGACCAAGTCACAGATGCAAACACGTGTCATCTTTCTCTATCTATATATGTGTGTGTGTGTGTCTGTGTCTGTGTCTGTGTCTCTCTGTCTCAATGTGTGAGTCTCTCTCTCTCTCTCGCTCTCTGTGTGTGTCTCTCTCGCTCTCTGTGTGTGTCTCTCTCTCTCTCTGTGTGTGTCTGTGTCTATCTTTGTGTCTCTCTCTCTGTCTCTTTGTGTATATATGTGTCGCTCTCTCTCTCACTCTCTCTGTATGTGTGTGTCTGTGTCTCTCTCTCTGTCTCTTTGTGTATATATGTGTCGCTCTCTTTCTCACTCTCTCTGTATGTGTGTGTCTGTGTGTCTCTCTCTCTGTGTGTGTCTGTGTCTATCTTTGTGTCTCTCTCTCTGTCTCTTTGTGTATATATGTGTCGCTCTCTCTCTCACTCTCTCTGTATGTGTGTGTCTGTGTCTCTCTCTCTGTCTCTTTGTGTATATATGTGTCGCTCTCTTTCTCACTCTCTCTGTATGTGTGTGTCTGTGTCTCTCTCTCTCTTTCTCTCTGTCACGGTGTGTGTCTGTGTGCGTGTGTGTTTCCTCAGTAATCTCTTGTGTGTTGCAGAACCATGGCTGCCAGTCGCCTCCCAGCGCTGCCCCAGTCCTTTGCTCCAACCACAGAGAGCGTCTTCTCTGATCTGTCCGGCTTCCACTCCATGGACTCTAACGTACCCGGACTTTCCAAAGTGATTCTCAACAAACTCAACATGAAAGATTATGGAGAATATAGGTAAACACAAAAACACTAAACCAAAAGTCAGTTGCTGTGGTCCCCAAAGCTCTGTGTGCTCTGGTGCTTCAGGGCCGCAGTGGAGGGGAAGCCCAAAGGAATCTCCTTCCGCACCTACAAGGAGATGTTCCAGAAGATGGAGGAGACCTTTAAGTTCTGCACCGGCTGCAACAAGCTCCCCGAGCAGCTGAGCCAGGGCCAGAGCCTCAAGCGCTGCATCAAGTGAGAGCGGGGAGTGTGGGGAATGTGGAGAATGTGGGGAATGTTCTAATGTTCTAAAATATCTATAATAATAACAACTATAGTAATAATAATAATAACAATAATGTTTTATACAGCACTTTTCAGGACACTTAAAGTTGATTCACGTGTCAATATTCTTTCACTCCATACAAGCCATTGGACCCTCTGACCACCACCAACCGTTCACACACACACTAGACTCATTCCAGGCAATGTGGGTGAAGTGTCTTGCCTAAGGACAGTCGTCCGGTGTCCTGAAAAGGTTTTAGGAGCCAGTTCCGCAGGGGGTAAGCGGAGTCCCCTAGGAGGTAATAGCCAGCAGTCACCCCACCAATTTCTCTTGAGTGAGCTGGGAAGAGGCTTCCCCGGCAGGCTAACTCCCACAAGTTAGAGAGTCTCAAGACCCTGCATCATGCAAGCTCCCAGGCAATCCGGCAAACACGTTCCAAAACAACCCCTTTCCATCAACCACACCTTGGAGAATAATGGAATGCCACCCTTTGCGGTTGAAATAGTCACAATGACATTCCTGTGGAGCCATGATAGGGATGTGGGATCCATCAATGGCACCAACACAGTGTGGGACCCCCCATCTGTTCTCGTTGTAGGCAGCAATCTCCCTGAATTTCTCCTCAGTAGGACAACGGATCTGCGCTGGGACCAACACCGCATTTGCTGCAGCACAAAAGTCTTGCACACAGCGGCACACCGTTGTTATACTGACTCCAAAAAGGTGACCAATGCTTCGGTACTCAGAGCCAGTAGCAAGTTTCCAGAGTGCGATAGCCACTCTCTTCTTTAGGGGCACACATACCCGGTAAGTAGTGTCTTGTCGCTCCATAATCAAGCGCAGCTTTGTGCAGAGGTGATCAAATGTTTCTTTGGACATTCGGAAATTCTGCACCCACTGCGTGTTGCTGAAGCTTGGGACTACAATATCCCACCACTCGGAGGCTCGGTTTAAGGCCCACACCGATGGCTTGCGGCGGCGACGCAACCCGAGAAGCATCTGAAACACACACATACAGCATACACATTTTAATGATTTACAGAGACAGCCAGCAGCCATTTTGTTCAGGACGGCTGTTACAAAGCTAGCGATAGCAATATTAGCTTACCCACAAACGTCGTCTTTTTTCAGCTCGTTGTCTCCTGTCCTCAACTGCAAACTCCTGCAAGGTTTTCAATAACTTCGTCATTCTTTGGTGTCTCGCCGCCTGGATTCTTCTCAGGCTTTTCAGTCTATTCGTGACTAGTAGCCACAGAGAGAGCAGCAACACCACGATCGTCTCGGAGTCCTCCATTGTTTGAGGATGTAATGTTTTTCCTGGTTTCATGCTCGTGAGTCGCGCGGAAATGGCGTAACGGTAGCGGAAATGACGTAACGGTAGCGGTGGTATGAAAAGCCCACCCACTTGAAGATGTCCGATGGAGATATGTGGAAAAGCACGCGTACTCGACCGGGTCGTGACGTGTCGTGTAGAGTGGTGTAGTGCCGGTGCTGTGGAAAAGCGCCATATGGTTAGGACTGGGATTAGGGTTAGGGTCAGGATTAGGTTCAGGCCGACAAAATTGGCACAGGACTCCTAAAAACTAAGCGATATCTGATCTTTCCTTCCTTGGGATCTCCTCCAACCTTCATCCAAAACAGATCACCGTGACATAAAGGAGCAGCGTCTCTAATCCGATCTCCCCTGTGTGGTGCCTGGTGTGACGAATGCCTCTCTTCTATATGTTAAATAGCTCTTCCTAAAATGCCGACACGTTAGCGCCAAAACACGTCCGTCGTGGGTATTTTAGGCGGACATTCGAAGGAGCAGGGGTTCTTTGTCATCAAATGTCCCCCGTCGGATAAGGTTACCACACTGCCTGCAGAGTCGGAATTCTGCCTGGGGTAGTGGGTCTATTTTTAGGTTTTATTTAGAGGTCTCTGGAGGTTTGTCAGATTCCAAATGGTGCAAGACTTTATACTCGCAATGCAGCTCAAGAAATGACACAGATTTGATGATCAGCGAGAAACTAGTTAAATATATTTTAAAACATATTTTGATGTTTACTGGTTTGAAAGTTGATACAGAATGTGTTTCTCCTTCCAGGCTTCAGCAACAAAACAAGCAACAGCAACAACCTCAGTGTGATTCAATTAAAACTCAATTAAAATGTTTCAACACTCAAAATATGGTGGACAACGTCTCTCTCTGGTCCGTCTCTGGTCTCTCTCTCTTGTGTCTCTCTCTGGCCTCTCTCTGGTCTCTCTTTCTGGTCTCTCTTTCTGGTCTCTGTCTGGTCTCCCTCTCTGATCTTTCTCTGGTCTTTCTCTCTGGTCTCTCTCTGCTCTCTCATTGTTCTGTCTCTGGTCTCTCTGATATTTCTCTGGTCTCTCTCTCTGGTCTCTCTCTGGTCTCTCTCTGGTCTCTCTCTGGTCTCTCTCTCTTGTGTCTCTCTCTGGTCTCTCTCTCTGTTCTCTCTCTGGTCTCTCTTGTGTCTCTCTCTGGTCTCTCTCTGCTCAATCCGAAACAACAGAATGAGGCTCGCCCTCTCCCACTCCCAGGCCACATACAGATACAGACCATAAAACCACCACAAATACCAGCTGTTCTCAAGCACTGGTTTATGAGCTGTCTCCGTGACCCGTGAAAGTAGGAGCACTTTTCCCCTCGGCACCTGTTGGAGGCGGTCGGGGCGGCTGCGGCAGGGACCAGCCTCATTTATTGTGTGTTGAGTTGATCCAACCTCTGAACAACGCCTGAACGACTTATTCTGCTGTAATCTCTGGTCTCTCTCTGGTCTTTCTTTGGTCTCTTTTTCTGGTTTCTCTCCCTGGTCTGTCTCTGGTTTCTCCCTGGTCTCTCTCTGGTCTTTCTCTCCGATCTCTCTCCGGTGTCTCTCTGGTCTCGCTCTCTCTCTCTCTGGTCTCTCCCTTGTCTCTCCCTGGTCTCTCCCTGGTCTCTCTCTCGTCCAGTCTCTCTCTGGTCTCTCTCTGGTTTCTCCCTTGTCTCTCCCTGGTCTCTCTCTGGTCTCTCTCTGGTCTTTCTCCGATCTCTCTCTGGTCTGTCTCTCTGGTCTCGCTCTCTCTCTCCCTGGTCTCTCTCTCATTCGATCTCTCTCTGATCTGCCTCTCTGGTCTGTCTCTGGGCTCTCTCTCTGGTCTCTCTCTGGTCTCTCTCTCTGGTCTCTCTCTCCGGTCTCTCTCTCCTGTCTCACTCTGGTCTCTCTCTCTAAGGATGCACGGCCCTAACCATGCAGATCAAGCGTATACAGTATCCACTTCAAGAAATTCTCATTTGCAAATAAAGCATTCAGAATTTCACTCTGAACCAGAGCAGAGAAAATGGTCCGAACCACGCAGACTCCGCAAACATCGACCAGACCACCACCTCTGCTGCTGTTGCACTTTATTACTATTGTTTTTAACTTTTAAGATAAGATTAGAGAACCTTCATCCGTCCCTGCACAGTGCGGAGATTTAAATAGATTTTCCCCAGAATTATGTTGTTGAGTTTGTATGGATGTGTTTCTTCTGCCGGACACATGCACTTCTCCAACAGCATGGATCAAAAAAGCATCTATATCTCTCTCTCTACGACACACTTCATGCATAAATTGTTATTTTTATATTTATTTTTTTGCCTTCTCTAGATGCCTCAACGTGTACTACTGCACCAAGGAGTGTCAAAGGAACAACTGGCCACTGCACAAGAAGGTGTGTAAGACGCTGCGGCTGGTGGCCATCGACCGCCTGGTGGAGTGGCTCATGTTTCTGGGTGAGGAATGACAGACGTGACAAAAACATGACAAAAACTACCAACATAAGCTAATACAAGCTTATGTTATAGGCCTAAATAATTTGGAGGACCCCTCATTCACTGATTCAAATGACTGCAACCCTTCAATGGTTTTTCCTCTCTACTTAAAGCTTGAAGCTGAAATCTAAAGAAAAAAAACCTGAATAATTTATATTGCTTGTTTTAAGGATTGAATGTTAAAGGAGCAGCATGTAAAAAATCTGGCCAAAAGTGGTACTGCAGGCTCTCCCACTCCCCCTTTCACTAGGGTTGCCAGATATGCAGACGAATCCAGCTAGGACCATGATTTCTATATAGACAAGAGTTTAGTCAACAACAAATCTATAATCAATACTTTTTTCACAAAGATAGAAATCCTGGTTTTATTCCTTGTTTTGTCATCCTTGATTTGAGAATCCTAACGAGACCTTTTTTAGTTCTGCGCCACATGGTACTTTACCAGTGAGATTAGCTCCACGCGGTGAGTTCTGGCGCCCGGATCACAGACTTTGATTGGTGAAACGGTGGAGGGCGGGACATCGAAATGAAAACAATAACAAGATTCAGGGGCTGTAAAAGTCATTTTGAAATCCAAATATCTCTGAACGACTGTTATCAGTGAAAGAAGTATTGGAAAAGAGCATGTTTTATTAATGCCTTTTGACAGATTAGGGCCCTTTAATGATGACTTGACATGAAAAACTTACATATGACTATTTTAAAGGGTTAAAGACCTTATGACGGGTTTGATTTATTTAGAAATACAGTTTTAATACCATTTTATATTAGAAGAGAACTACTAAAGGTTTCAAAATCAGTTGTTGTTTTTTTTGTCTGATCCCCCCAAATCGAAATAACCCCATAGCAACGCCCTTAGAAACGAAAAAACTTCACAGCTTGGTGACGTCAGAGTGGGTACGAGTTGTTTACAATTTGGTATTCGTTCTTTTTTCGCGGATATTCAAGATGACAAGGCCGTGTACAGCGAGTCTAAGATAACTACTAGAAAGTAGCATTTTGTTGTCACTGAGATAGTCCAGTGGTTGTGTCGATGGACTGCCAATCGAGATACTTGGGTTCAAATCCCACCTCAGACACTTTTTCACACTCAAAACGGCAATTTATGTGTAGTGAGCAATTGTCACCTGTAGAGGGCAGTATTGTGTTGGGCATCAGTGGAGAGAAGAGAGAAAAGGCAGTCCTGTGGCATAGATCCATGGTTTTCAATGCATGGGCGTAACCCGCTATGACGTCACACACAGGTTAGAGCATAGACAGCTTAAATTCATGAAAAACACGTTCTTTTTATAAAATATAGGATTTTTTTTGCCGGAATCTCTTTCAAATTGACATTGTCATGCAATTTTGATATCCACTATTTATTTTTTTAAAAACCCGTCATAAGGTCTATAAATAATAACCTGAATTTAGGTTATTGCTCTCCTGCTGTTTTTGACCATCCATCCATCCATCTTCCGCTTTATCTGTTGCTGTGTTGTGGAGGCAGCAGTCTAAACACACACTTCCTCAAGCTCATCCGGGGGAGTCTTGCGGTGTTCCCAAGTTCAGCGGAAACACACAGTCCCTCCAGCATGACCCAAAAAAACAAAAAAAAACCCAAAAAAGATCCATTCTAACATGCTAATGAGTTCCTGTCCCGGGTCCTGACCGTGGGGATGGGCATACAGCAGTTCAGCCTGGACCCTTACTCCAGGCCCCTCACCGTCCACATCGTAGGGGCCTCCCACAACGAGACCATGGGGGCCCGGCTCACGGACTACGACGAGCTCAACCACATGTTCCCGGGGCACCAGGGCATGGAGGTGGTGATGGTGGGGCCAGAGGTGGTGGACGGGGCCATCATGAGGCCTCCACTCAGAGCATTTGGCCCCAGGAGCAGGGTCTTCTTGTCAGCTCACAAAGACCTCTATCATCAGTTCTGGGAGGACGTTGTGGAGACGCAGGAGGCCGCCAGACCGGACATCGTGATTGGCTTTCACCCCGGTAAGAAATAGGCAAGGCAAGTTTAATTGTATGGCACGATTCATACACAAGAAAACTCAAAAGGCGATTAAGGCGCTAAAATCCTCAATAATCACAGTCCTTTTAAAAGAGAGTTCTTAAAAAAAAGATAGGAGAACCTTCATTCATCCCACAGTGGGGAAATTTCAATGTTGCAGCGCACACACACACACACGCACGCACGCACACACACACAGGAAGCACACAAAATTTACAATATAAGTAGCCGCTATGTTTCTTAGCTAGCAATAAAAAGCTTTAATGTCAATACGTCCATGTGTCTCTATCTATCTATGTTATGGTGTGGACTTTTTGATAACTTTTCCTAGTTTTATTTTTAATGTTTGTTCTTCAGTGTTGCTCATGTCTGTTCTGTATCCTGTCCCGCCCTATTGTGTTTCGCCTGTGTGTCCCTGTGTGTTTTTAAACCAGTGGGGGCGGGTCCCGGCTCAAAAGTGGCCAAAATGACGTGCGCTGACATGCTTGCAATACCACCCCGGGCCGATGGGGGTGGACCCGGAATAAGAATTAGCCAATGCTAACATATAGCATTGGCAGACCTCTCAAAAACGTCTTTACAGGATGGACCGAAAGTTGGCTCTTGGCCCAAAGCTCCGTTCCACATGTGTGTCAATGCTGAGGGGGGTGGATTTTTTTGGTCCACTCTAGTTTACTCGCTGTGAATTTTTTAAGTCTCTCGTTCAAATGAATGGAGCAGCTTGTGGGCGGGACCATTATAAATATTAGCAGATTAGTTTGGAAACGGTATCTCTTTCTTGTCGAAACACACACTGGCCCCGGGCCCCTGTGGTCCTGACTGAAGCTGTGTTTTCGCTCGTGGCTCTTGGGTTTCTGTGTGAAACTGAGAAGCTGCAAAGTGCTGCTCTCTGCCCCTGTGGGAGATCGTCACGTCGATGCTTCAGGCCTCATACGTGTGTTTATGCTAGCTTATTTTGAACTTCTGAGCTGTTACAGGTTAGAGCATAGACTTAAATTCATGACAAAAAAAACACGTTCTTTTTATAAAATATAGGATTTTTTTTGCCGGAATCTCTTTCAAATTGACATTGTCATGCAATTTTGATATCCACTATTTATTTTTTTAAAAACCCGTCATAAGGTCTTTAAATAATAACCTGAATTTAGGTTATTGCTCCTGCTGTTTTTGACCATCCATCCATCCATCTTCCGCTTTATCTGTTGCTGTGTTGTGGAGGCAGCAGTCTAAACACACACTTCCTCAAGCTCATCCGGGGGAGTCTTGCGGTGTTCCCAAGTTCAGCGGAAACACACAGTCCCTCCAGCATGACCCAAAAAAACAAAAAAAAACCCAAAAAAGATCCATTCTAACATGCTAACGACCTGTGTGGGCCCCGACAGGAGACCTCCCATTCCCCACTGAGAAATGGAGCAGACCCAGGAGCGAGGTGAGGTGCTGGGACGACTGGCTCTCCATGCAGGGGCCCCTCAGCGCTCGCCTGGACCCCATCGTGACGGGCCCCAACATGGAGAAGGTGTGGAGCAACGCCAGTCACCCTCGCCCCGACGACCCGGACCTGAGCCAGTCCCTGTGGCGGATCCAGAGCGAGTTCCTGTCCCGGGTCCTGACCGTGGGGATGGGCATACAGCAGTTCAGCCTGGACCCTTACTCCAGGCCCCTCACCGTCCACATCGTAGGGGCCTCCCACAACGAGACCATGGGGGCCCGGCTCACGGACTACGACGAGCTCAACCACATGTTCCCGGGGCACCAGGGCATGGAGGTGGTGATGGTGGGGCCAGAGGTGGTGGACGGGGCCATCATGAGGCCTCCACTCAGAGCATTTGGCCCCAGGAGCAGGGTCTTCTTGTCAGCTCACAAAGACCTCTATCATCAGTTCTGGGAGGACGTTGTGGAGACGCAGGAGGCCGCCAGACCGGACATCGTGATTGGCTTTCACCCCGGTAAGAAATAGGCAAGGCAAGTTTAATTGTATGGCACGATTCATACACAAGAAAACTCAAAAGGCGATTAAGGCGCTAAAATCCTCAATAATCACAGTCCTTTTAAAAGAGAGTTCTTAAAAAAAAGATAGGAGAACCTTCATTCATCCCACAGTGGGGAAATTTCAATGTTGCAGCGCACACACACACACACGCACGCACGCACACACACACAGGAAGCACACAAAATTTACAATATAAGTAGCCGCTATGTTTCTTAGCTAGCAATAAAAGCTTTAATGTCAATACGTCCATGTGTCTCTATCTATCTATGTTATGGTGTGGACTTTTTGATAACTTTTCCTAGTTTTATTTTTAATGTTTGTTCTTCAGTGTTGCTCATGTCTGTTCTGTATCCTGTCCCGCCCTATTGTGTTTCGCCTGTGTGTCCCTGTGTGTTTTTAAACCAGTGGGGGCGGGTCCCGGCTCAAAAGTGGCCAAAATGACGTGCGCTGACATGCTTGCAATACCACCCCGGGCCGATGGGGGTGGACCCGGAATAAGAATTAGCCAATGCTAACATATAGCATTGGCAGACCTCTCAAAAACGTCTTTACAGGATGGACCGAAAGTTGGCTCTTGGCCCAAAGCTCCGTTCCACATGTGTGTCAATGCTGAGGGGGGTGGATTTTTTTGGTCCACTCTAGTTTACTCGCTGTGAATTTTTTAAGTCTCTCGTTCAAATGAATGGAGCAGCTTGTGGGCGGGACCATTATAAATATTAGCAGATTAGTTTGGAAACGGTATCTCTTTCTTGTCGAAACACACACTGGCCCCGGGCCCCTGTGGTCCTGACTGAAGCTGTGTTTTCGCTCGTGGCTCTTGGGTTTCTGTGTGAAACTGAGAAGCTGCAAAGTGCTGCTCTCTGCCCCTGTGGGAGATCGTCACGTCGATGCTTCAGGCCTCATACGTGTGTTTATGCTAGCTTATTTTGAACTTCTGAGCTGACACTGCATCTATATCTGCATGTGACTCTCAACAAATCATGATGACAAAACCAGAAGAAACTCGCTGTAGGTCACTGTTGGACTCGTTGGGCTGAGAGCTGATTGGCTGAATCAGGGCGGTCCTCTCTTGGTCATGTTTCTGTCTGACAAAGCTGTTTTGTACTTTACCATTGTTTTTGTTGTTGCTTTTTTCTGCCTGAGATGTTGCTGCAGTACAGTGTTCGTGGTTTCCTCGGTGGCCGATTACCATCAATGCTGCTAGTTAATAATAATAAAAAAGGATTTAAAGGGCCACTAAAATATGTCTTGCCCCGGATTTGTACCCCGGTTCTTGACTTTGACACCCGTGGACTAGAACTAGGAAATGGTCCGAACCAAGCGGCTGCTCCACCTCTGCTGCCGTGACCTAAAGGGATTTAATACTATTGTTAGCTATTTTTATAATGATCTATTTATTGTTCTGCTGCTACTGGACGCCTTCTCCTTCTAAAGTATCTATCTATTTATCGATCTAATGCGTATAACCATCTTATCAAGAGCAATGCTTCAAGTTACTCCGATTAAAATGACCTAAAATAATTTCTTCAAGGACCACTAAAAATGGTCTTGCGGGCCGGATTTGACCCACAGGCCTGAGTTTGACGCTGCTGCCACAGACTGTTAAGTTGTTGTGTGGAATGTTCCAGATCTGTGTCTATTGTTTCAGATGTTCATAAAAGTGTGGAACATCTCATTGATTATTGTTTCATTATTAGTAACGTAAACCCGCGCCCTGATGCCGCCGCTTTGACTGCTGCATGTGACGCTGGAGAATATTCTCAGTCTATAAATAATGAATCTTTCGGCAGAGTTCTCATTATCGCTTGATTTGCATTGTCTTTCTACAACAGGTTTCCATGCCAACCAGGGTCTGATGGATGGATGGCTCCCCACGCTGCTGCTGCTGCGAGACTACGGCATCCCCACACTCTTCACGGTCTTCAGGTGAGTCTCTCATGGTGTCTCTTTTGGTGTCTCCCATGGTGTCTCTCATGGCATCTCTCATGGTGTCTCTCATGGTGTCTCTCATGGTGTCTCTTTTGGTGTCTCCCATGGTGTCTCTCATGGCATCTCTCATGGTGTCTCTCATGGTGTCTCTCATGGTGTCTCTCATGGTGTCTTCCATGATATCTCCCATTGTGTCTCTCATGGTGTCTCTCATGGCATCTCTCATGGTGTCTCTCATGGTGTCTCTCATGGCGTCTCTCATGGTGTCTCTCATGGCATCTCTCATGGTGTCTCTCATGGTGTCTCTCATGGCGTCTCTCATGGCGTCTCTCATGGTGTCTCTCATGGTGTCTCTCATGGTGTCTCCCATGGTGTCTCTCATGGCATCTCTCATGGTGTCTCTCATGGTGTCTCTCATGGCGTCTCTCATGGCGTCTCTCATGGTGTCTATCATGGCGTCTCTCATGGCGTCTCTCATGGTGTCTCTCATGGCGTCTCTCATGGTGTCTCTCATGGCATCTCTCATGGTGTCTCTCATGGTGTCTATCATGGCGTCTCTCATGGTGTCTCTCATGGCATCTCTCATGGTGTCTCTCATGGTGTCTCTCATGGTGTCTCTCATGGCGTCTCTCATGGTGTCTCTCATGGCGTCTCTCATGGTGTCTCTCATGGTGTCTATCATGGCGTCTCATGGTGTCTCTCATGGTGTCTCCCATGATGTCTCCCATGGTGTCTCTCATGGTGTCTCACATGATGTCTCCCATGGTGTCTCTCATGGTGTCTCACATGGTGTCTCTCATGGTGTCTCTCATGGTGTCTCCCATGATATCTCCCATGGTGTCTCTCATGGTGTCTCTCATGGTGTCTCCCATGGTGTCTCTCATGGCATCTCTCATGGTGTCTCTCATGGTGTCTCTCATGGTGTCTCTCATGGCGTCTCTCATGGCGTCTCTCATGGTGTCTATCATGGTGTCTCTCATGGCGTCTCTCATGGTGTCTCTCATGGTGTCTGTCATGGTGTCTCTCATGGCATCTCTCATGGTGTCTCTCATGGTGTCTATCATGGCGTCTCTCATGGTGTCTCTCATGGAATCTCTCATCTCTCATGGTGTCTCTCATGGTGTCTATCATGGCGTCTCTCATGGTGTCTCTCATGGTGTCTATCATGCGTCTCATGGTGTCTCTCATGGTGTCTCACATGATGTCTCCCATGGTGTCTCTCATGGTGTCTCACATGGTGTCTCTCATGGTGTCTCTCATGGTGTCTCCCATGATATCTCCCATGGTGTCTCTCATGGTGTCTCCCATGGTGTCTCCTATTTCAATCTGGAGAGACTGGAACAGACAAAACATGGTTACATTAGAATTGCATGTTGAATGGCAATAATATGACACTACATACATGACACACATGACTCTGAGGACAATAATTTCAACATTACATTTATTGCTGCTGTACAGAATGTGGTTAGAATCTGGCGCTTAGACCCTGGCAGAGAACTGCACGATTGCAGAAGGGGAAAGAGACCCTGGTGGTAGGAGTTGGAGAAGGATGAAGAAGCTGGCCCTGAACGAGGCGGAGATGGGGAGGAGGAGGGTTGCAGCATGAATGAAGATGCTCCTTGGATGGAGCTTCCTTGAGATATGAAGCTTGATGTGAGGCAGTGTGTGACGCTGCAGCAGTGTCTGACGCTGCAGCAGTGTGTGACGCTGCAGCAGTGTGTGACGCTGCAGCAGTGTGTGACGCTGCAGCAGTGTGTGACGCTGCAGCAGTGTCTGACGCTGCAGCAGTGTGTGACGCTGCAGCAGTGTGTGACGCTGCAGCAGTGTGTGACGCTGCAGCAGTGTGTGACGCTGCAGCAGTGTGTGACGCTGCAGCAGTGTCTGACGCTGCAGCAGTGTGTGACGCTGCAGCAGTGTGTGACGCTGCAGCAGTGTCTGACGCTGCAGCAGTGTGTGACGCTGCAGCAGTGTGTGACGCTGCAGCAGTGTCTGACGCTGCAGCAGTGTCTGACGCTGCAGCAGTGTGTGACGCTGCAGCAGTGTCTGACGCTGCAGCAGTGTCTGATGCTACAGGTGAGGATTTGACAGATGCTGTTGTCGTGAAGGAGGACTTTGAGCGCTGTGAGCTTAGTTTTTCTTGTCTTCCAGTCTGAATTTACGCTTTAGCTTCATGTGTCTCCCACTTGTTTCCCATGGTTTCTCTCATGGTGTCTCCCATGGTGTCTCCCATGGTGTCTCCCACATGTCTCCTATGGTTTCTCCCATATGTCTCCATGGTGTCTTCCAACATTAGCTTAATCTCTAACTTATATCATAACTGTAATAAATAGATAAAGATAACATATTATAATAATGAGAATAATAAATTCTCTGATATTGTCCTTCCTTCAAACTTATCTCAATATCAATGTCAGATCTACATGTATTTGAATACTACATTTTCATCAGCTGTCCAAAGTGCTTCACAGGCCCAAAAGAAACACAAACGAATAAAAGAAAACAGCATTACATTCACACAAATACTGGTAAAATATAAGACAGTAGAACTCATTTGGTGTTGAAAGCCAAAGCACTAATATGTTTTTAGACTTGATTTAAAAAAACCTCTGAGATTGACCAATGGACGGTTATTTTAATTTTCTTTAACAGCAAAAGTATTCAGCTGTAAATCACATAATTATTATTGTTTCAGTTTCCAGTTTGAGAAAGTCTAACTATAGATGGATAACTATAAATAGACAAACCATCAGGGACAGTAACTTCATACAGCACAGTGATGGGACGCCCTCTTGTGGTGGAAATATGGTACTCCAGACTTTAACGTGTGTTGCCTTTTTATGTTCATCCTTCTATAGTTAGACTTTCTCAAACTGGAAACTGAAACAATAATAATTATGTGATTTACAGCCAGATACTTTTGCTGCTAATAATAAATAAAATAACTGTCCATTTGTCTGTCTATGTACATTAGTTCCTTCATTGGAGGTTTTATAAAAAAAATACTAATTACTATCTCTCTCCCTCCCTCCCTCTCTCTCCCTGTCTCTCTCTCTCCCTCCCTCTCTCTCTCTCCCTCTCTCTCTCCCTCTCTCTCCCTCTCTCTCTCCCTCTCTCTCCCTCTCTCTCCCTCCCTCCCCCTCCCTCTCCCTCCATCTCCCTCTTCCTCCCTCTCTCCCTCTCTCTCCCCCTCTCTCCCCCTCCCTCTCTCTCCCCCTCCCTCTCTCTCCCTCTCTCTCTCCCTCCCTCTCTCTCCCCCTCCCTCTCTCTCCCCCTCCCTCTCTCTCTCTCTCTCCCCCTCTCTCTCTCTCCCTCTCTCTCTCTCCCTCTCTCTCCCCCTCTCTCCCCCTCTCCCTCCTCCTCTCTCTCCCCCTCCCTCTCTCTCCCCCTCTCTCCCCCTCTCTCCCCCTCTCCCTCCTCCTCTCTCTCCCCCTCCCTCTCTCTCCCCCTCCCTCTCTCTCCCTCTCTCTCCCCCTCCCTCTCTCTCCCTCTCTCTCCCCCTCTCTCCCCCTCTCCCTCCTCCTCTCTCTCCCCCTCCCCTCTCTCTCCCCCTCCCTCTCTCTCCCTCTCTCTCCCCCCTCTCTCCCCCTCTCTCCCCCTCCCTCTCTCTCCCCCTCCCTCTCTCTCCCCCACAGTGAGCAGGAGCAGAAGGCCTCTCTGCAGATCCTGCTGGAGCTGGAGGTGAACATTCTGGACAGTGACAAAAACCCTTTCAGCTCCCAGAAACCAGAGCAGGCCCAGTCCTCTCCCAACGTCCAGCCGGTCTACTGCAGCTCCCACTACATCCGCTTGCGAGGCGTGCTGTCCCAGGACCCTCACCAGAACCAGGACTAGAACCAGGATCAGGACCAGGCTTCATGAGATAGACTTTTCCAATGGACCAGTCTCCAGCTGTAGTGTCAATGCTCAAACTTTATCAAACTCATTTGTCATTTGCAGTAAAACCACATTGGAATACATGTGCAAGTCCCCAGTCTGCATCAGACAAATACATAAATAAAACATCCATCCATTTTCTTCCGCTTCATCCGTTGCCGGGTCGCTGGGGCAGCAGTCTAAGCAGAGACGCCCAGACTTCCCTCTCCACACACACTTCGTCCGGGAGGACCCCAAGGCCTTTCCAGGCCAGAGAGACATAGTCCCTCCCAGGGAGGCGTCCAGGAGGCATCTGGAACAGATGCTCGAACCTCAACTGGTTCCTCTCCACCCGGCTCTACTCCGAGCTCCTCCTGTGTGACTGAGCTCCTCACCCTATCTCTAAGGGAGCGCCCAGCCACTCTGTGGAGTAAGCTCATTTCGACCGCTTGTATCCGTGATCTCGTTCTTTTGGTCATTACCCAAAGCTCATGACAGAGAGACCGGCCTCTCTCTGGTTTCTCACTTGGTCTCTCTCACGGTCACAGAACCAACTGTCGATAGTGCAGCGATAAAAGTGAAGCAGGATCTTTAGAACAAACTTGAGGCACAGATCTTTGAGTTTATCTTCAAAGCTGTGTAACCTAACTTTAAAACGAAACAAATGAAACCATGTAAATATGTTTCCATGTCACCAGTTCCTCAAACACTTCAGAGAGTGAGCTTTAAATGGCAGAGTATAAAGTTAACACAAAATCTTCATTTTTCGACTGGAACCATTTTGTCAATTGCTGTAATTGTTAAATGTCCTGAAAGATAATGTCGCAGATTTTCCTCTTTTAAAAAACGTTCACACTGATGTCAAACCACAATAAATGACTGTATATTTGTCATGTCATTTTAGACTGATTTTATTCAATGTATTGATTTGTGTACAGCCTTAAACCACAACAGTCAACGAGAATCAAACAGTTCAAACACAAGAAATGCAATGATTAAAAAAAACATAGAGCCATTGGTCCATAAGAGGCAGAGACCAATGTCCATAAATGTTGATAAAGTCCATACATGTATCGGGGAAAGGCACTGGAAATCTACCATTAATAACTCTGAATGAGGATGTATGTAATATTAGTATGTTTTATGTTCACATCAAGTGAACTCCAGACTTAAAACTATATTATGATCACAATCCACGTACATTTGTCATAAATGCAGTGTTGCCAAAGTGTGTTCTGGAAGTGTCTGTGGTTGGAGGCTTCTGGAAGGACTGGCACAGGTGATAAGTCTGCCCCCTCCCCGCTCTCACATGTCACAGAGCGTCCAGGGCACCGTGTGTGAAGGCCACTCTTTGGACATGACGGAGAAACACAAGTAAGTCTCTCTCATTCTCTGAGTTTGAACAGCTTTAGTCAGGATTTTATTGTCTCGAACTTTAGAAAAAAACCCTGGTGAAACCTTTCCGGGCTCGGGACTGAGAGGGACTGGCCCCACGAGTCCGCTCTGAGAGGTGGACTTTGTGTGAATGCGTTTAATGACTGAGATTGTTGTCTGACATTCATAACTCAAACATATGCATTTCTTTTGCTGTTGAATTTGAGGTTCTAGCTTTGCCGTTTCTTGTGGAACTTGCCATGTGCTTTGCTATTTATAGAAGAGAGGGAGTGGGGGAAACATTCTCTCAGCACTAGTGTAAAATGGTATTTCAATGTAAATATTGATAATGGTTAAATAGAGAGGATGTGTTTCTACATACATGATTTATTGAAATGTAATTGACATGTTTTCTAGTGGTTATCATGGCCAAAGCTACTTATATACACTATGTACTTTATGTCATAGTGCTTTGTAACTGCTGATTACTTTGAGTTGATATGAGTCCTTCATTTCAAGGACCATGGCGACGCGAATCATGAAACCAACAGGATTCAACAATCAAAAGGAGATGTTTGAAAAGATGGAGGAATCCTTCAAAGTGTGTGTGAACTGTGAGAAGAGACAGAACCAGCTGTCCAACTCCCAGAGCATGAAGCGCTGTGGAAGGTGAGCCCCTCTTACAGTATGTATATATGTATATAAAACTTATGTCTATAACAGGACAATAAGTAACTGTGATCACTGCTCTTCCAGATGTCTCAATGTGTACTACTGCTGCAAAGACTGTCAGAAAGAAAACTGGTCCAAACACAAGAAGTTTTGTCCTCAGCTCAGACTGGCTGCTATTGACAGAGTTGTGGAGTGGCTTTTGTTTAAAGGTGGAATAATTTATGATATTGAAGACCTTCTTTAAATATTGTAATCTATGAAGTGAGGATAAAGGAAAGCTTTGTGTTTTCTGCCTCAGGTGAGCTCCCGTTCTCCACAGGGAAATGGTCCAAGCCAGAGTCTGAGGTAAAGAGCTGGGAGGACTGGCTGGACATGCAGGGGGACCTCGGCCCACGGCTCGAAGCCATTCTCAACGGCTCGCTCATGAAGCAGCTGTGGACAGACGCAGGGAGACCGCGGCCAGGGGACGAGGACCTGAAACAGTCTTTGTGGAGAGTGACCAGTGAGTTCCTGTCCCGGCCTCTGACCATCGCTTGGGGAATGCGGCTGTTTGGCCTGAACCCTCACAAAAAGCCTCTCACTGTCCATGTGGTGGGAGCGGGACAGTCCGAGACTCTGGGAGCCAAACTGACGGACTATGACGAGCTCAACAACATGTTCCCAGGACACCAGGGCATCGAGGTGGTCCTGGTGGGACCAGAGATCGTCCATGGGCCTGTGGTGAGGCCTCCTCTCCGAGCGTTTGGGCCAAGGCAGAGAGTGTTCTGCAGCGCGTACAAAGGTCTGTACCACGAGTTCTGGGAGAATGTGATCGAGAAGGAGGAGGCGGCGAAGCCCGACCTGGTGGTGGGCTTCAACCCTGGTGAGGACAGAGCTGTTAGAGTCACAGTGACTCGGTCATTTCTTATACATTTATGTCATTGTTGTTTTGATGCAGGTTTCGATGCCAGTCAGGGTCTGGATGAAGGATGGCTTCCAACTCTTCTTCTGCTCAGAGACTATGACATTCCTTCAGTGTTCACTGCCCTCACGTGAGTACAGAAGGGAACACAGGTCGATGTTCATGAAACCTCTGCTATTCTCTTTCATCATACTGAAGTATAGACCATGACACGTTACACATTTTAAAGAACATTTGTTCAGGAATACAAACAATTAGTTTTACTCTAAATCCTGACGCTGTAATCTCATGTTGTCCACAGTGAGGCAGAGATGACGTACTCGCTGCAGATCCTGCAGGAGCTGGAGATGGACATGAAAGGCAGTGGAGCAAACCCGTTCACGTCTCTCAAACCTGAAGTGGGGTCTGCAGCCGACAGACCTCCGGTCTACAGCAACTCCCACTATTTCTGTGTGCAGGGTCTGATGGAGACGGTGGAGCTGGAGGAGCCGGACGACTGAGGCTGAGAGCTGTCTGTGCATATGTTCTATTATTGTCATCTTTTGTTTTTTTCATTTTTCTGCGTTTATCCTTTGACATTCTGATCACCTTTTTATGACTGTGTTTAGATTCAGTTTCCATTCGGTGTGCATATGTAAATGAGAGTAAATAAGATTCACTAGTGACTTATTGAAATACCAGACAACCAAATTAATAAATTAATCACATGAAAATATCTTCTATTACTGCAGGCCTACATTTTTTGGTACAACTGAATTAAGTTTATGAATTGCAAAACCAGATAATAAAGGTCATAAATAGTAGAAGGAGGCAGTAGGTTTCATATTCAGGTCTGTCTAAAACCACACATTCTAAGTAAGATAAACATCGCCACATGACCTGAGCGGCTCATAGCAGGAGCTGGGGACAGTCACTGAGACCTGGGTTTCCATTAAACATGAAAATGGTAAAGACAAAAGCTGTAAAAGCATAAACTAGCACTGAGATAACCAGAAATACAAAGACAAACGGTCCAGTTGGAACGGCAAGCATTGCTTCAGTTTCTTCAGGAGGTTGGTGGTTAAATGAGGGGAATGAGATCATGTATAATATCACCATTGAAGAATCCAGGAAGTGCTGACAAGTAATCGAAGTAACTGCCCTGTTAACTCTCAAAGAACGTGTCTTTTAGCAGTAATTTTAAAGTATTCTATGACTTCAAAAGTGTTAACCAAGTCACAAAGAGCGGCTGCAGGTTAGGCAGAAGTGGAAGTTGATGGTGATGGCCATTCCAGAGGTGAGGTTGGGCCAGTCCATGTAGAACCTGAGCAGCCAGTCCAGCCTCAACATCTCGAGGGGGCAGAAGGGGCAGAAGGACCAGGTGAACGTGGCGGGGTTTCAGAAGGAGAAGCTGCTGGATCCTTTCAGAGCAGACGGAATAAAAGTGACCACAAACATCGGCATTCGAGCCACATGCAGCTCACCTCAATCCGACATGAAGGAGGAAGGGGTGAAAAGCGCCTCAGACGTAGTGTCCTTGATCTGGTCCATCTCTGCTCTGCTGGAGGAGGCTGCAAGTTTCCAAAGAGTCCAGAACTATGTAGATCTCAACAATGTCTTTCACTATCTCACTCAGGTTTGCATACACTCAACAGAAGTGCTTTGTGTAACTTCACTCTGTAACATAACATTATTGTGAGATTTCATAACACATTGAAGCAACTCATTCTAACATTTGCAGGAGACTTTTCCATTCAATGTTTTGTCTATCTGAAGGCCAAGCTACTGGCATCGCGGCGAAAGCTGATTGGACGGTGTTCATTCCTCCATGCTATATTATCACTTGCAGTTTGTAACAACATCAACAATAAAACATGTCTCCTGTCCGAATTAAAGACACGATCCCAGACTTTGTCATCTTCTTCATTCATGTATCAATTACAATTTTCTGCATATTCCATCTTCTGAAGAACGTGAAGCTGCTACAAATACAAATTCTAATTAATAATAATGAAACTACTTTTTTTTAAAGGTCAAGTCTCATACTTTAACCCGTCATTATTATAGATCCATGACTTTAACATATATTTCAGAGGGAGCCATATAAAAGCGTTGTCACTGGTGTCCACATGAGGGCAGTAACTTGTATCGGCCTCTGTCTTCTCCATACGTCCTGTATTTTAAATTAATGTGATTCCAGCTTAAGGCTAGAATAATATTTACCACATCCTGCAGAACACCACAGTAATAACGACGAGGATATTGTATTTGCACAATGTTATGATTATGAGCGGTACTACTGGTGAGTGGACATGTTTCCGGGGACAGTAATGTAAGGAGCACACACAGGAAGTTGTTGTCAAGTGTCAGCCTCAGCTTCAGTCTGTGCTTCAAACCTGGACCAGTGTTTGTCTCAGTGATAGTTTAGAGCTGTCCTCGTCGACAGCCGGTGTTGGACCGGTGTCTGACCGGTGTTGGACCGGTGTGTGCGGCTCAGGATCACCGGCTTTTCTGGAAGATTTATTAAACATTTGTCTCCGATCCTCCGTTTGGCAGACCCTCATGTTAGCAATGGTTCTGTGGTTCTGAGTGTCTGAGAGTCCAGTGTCCTCATGGATTTCTCCAAGTTCCTGGACGATGAGTTCGATGTGAAGGACTGGGTGAACGGGGCCTTCAGAGTGGTGCAGAAGGACGCTCCGGGGAAGGCGGACACACACGCAGCCACTCTGGTGATGAAGCTGCAGCTCTTCATCCAGGAAGTCAACAATGCCGTCGAGGGTGAGGGTCTACCATGGATCTGGGGTCTACCATGGATCTGGGGTCTACCATGTTTCTGGGGTCTACCATGGATCTGGGGTCTACCATGGATCTGGGGTCTACCATGGATCTGGGGTCTACCATGGATCTGGGGTCTACCATGGATCTGGGGTCTACCATGGATCTGGGGTCTACCATGGATCTGGGGTCTACCATGTTTCTGGGGTCTACCATGGATCTGGGGTCTACCATGTTTCTGGGGTCTACCATGGATCTGGGGTCTACCATGTTTCTGGGGTCTACCATGGATCTGGGGTCTACCATGGATCTGGGGTCTACCATGGATCTGGGGTCTACCATGGATCTGGGGTCTACCATGGATCTGGGGTCTACCATGGATCTGGGGTCTACCATGGATCTGGGGTCTACCATGGATCTGGGGTCTACCATGTTTCTGGGGTCTACCATGGATCTGGGGTCTACCATGGATCTGGGGTCTACCATGGATCTGGGGTCTACCATGGATCTGGGGTCTACAGCTGAACATGGGATTTATCTGCTGCTAATAATGCATAACAATATCAGAGGTGCAGCGAGGGGAGCACTAGAAGTTAATCTCAAGTAACTTCATAATTATACTTCAACTAGTTACAGCTGGGACACTTGATATTTTCTTTTTTTTTTATACGTTATTGTGTCATCTTCTTTAGTTCACACTGTTTTTTTTTAAATACATACAGCTTAACAAGACACATTTTAATTTCTTTTCCCCCCCACTATGCTCCCCTTGTGTCAAGAGAAGGATAAAACAAGACAAAGCAAAACAAATACATAGATAGGTAAATAAACAGAATATATAAAATAATAATAATAATAAAAACATATATAATATATATGTATATATAATAATATTTTCAAGCCACGAATATTTTAAAATGTAATATAAAGCATACATTGATTGTCAGTCTGATTCTATCTTTGCCATGTATTTCTGGCTTCTGTCAAATCTTCAGATCAGCTTTTTCAGATAGAAAAGTGGATCAAGAGAGAAACCCTCACTCAGCCCAAAGAGTTAAAGAGTGACTCACAAGAAAACGTGTTAACAAAATGTGGTGGTTTGTTATTGTTTCACATTGGTCACTTTACAAGACTTTATTGACACAAACATGTATTATTTATGAAAAAAAAGATGTACCCCAGCTTTAACATAATCAGGAGGTGACAATAATACACGTTGTTGCAGTGTCTCTTAGTCCCCCCAAACCGACAGTTATTGATGTTGTTTCAGAGAGCAGTAACCAGGCGGTGCAGAACATGCCCAGGGTCCTGAGGGACGTGGAGGCTCTGAAGCAGGAGGCGTCTTTCCTCAAGGAGCAGATGGTTCTGGTCAAAGAGGACATCAGGAAGTGTGAGCAGGACACGGCACAGTCTATGCAGGTACAGCACATGGTCACTGCTGTCAAAGGCTGGTGTTGCATATTCTACTGTTCCCTCTGTCTGCTTCTTTTTCCCGTATTTTGTGTGTGTGGATATTTCATTATGTTTTTATTGTCTAGTTTTTTTATTCAGTGTTTTTGGAAAGTGCTTTAATAATAATGTGAATGTTGTTATGTTTGGCCATACCCTGCATGTGAAAGCCAGATCCCATCAGACATCTGAAGCTAAGCAGGGCAGGGCCTGGTTAGTACTGTGATGGGAGACCTCTTGGGAACACCACGTGCCACAGTGGGGCGGCTGTAAACTGCCAAACTGTTGTGTCCTGAGGCAAGACACTTCACCCACATTGCCTAGAATGAATCTGGTGTTTGTGTGTTCAGTTCTGTCAGTTCAGTCTTGATTTGAAAGGGACAGTGCACAGTAACATTAAGCTCAAAGACAGATATGTTCTGCATCAGATTATGGCTACGCAGCTAGTTTCCATCTGCAGTCCCTGGTTACATGAAACAATACAATAACTATACAGTAACCATATAATAACATATGTGTGAATAACGTGTGTATGGATTGAATGATTGACATGTGACGCGCATTTGAGTGTCCAAAAAAAGCGCTATTTAAATATGTTTTATTGATATTATTATTATTATTATTCTTCGCAGGTGCTGGTGGAGATAGACAAAGTGAAAGGTCGTATGCAGCTGGCTTCAGACGCTCTCCAAGAGGCCGATAAATGGACCACACTCAGCGCAGATATCGAGGAGACGTTTAAATCACAGGTTTGACACTCTTTACTTCTCTTGCTGCACGACGGCCTTGACAATAACCAGGAGCTATTAACGGGTGAAATCGAAGGTTATGTTTGAACGACGTCCCCCTCCCTTCCCCTCGCTCCAGGACTTCGCTCTTATCTCGTCCAAACTGACCAGCCTGCAGAACAGCCTGGCCATGTTGGTGGACACGCCCGACTACTCCGACAAGTGTGTCCATTTGGAGGCTCTCAAAAACAGACTGGAGGCTCTGGCCAGTCCGCAGATAGTGGCAACCTTCAACTCCATGTCTTTAGGTACCTACAGCACCTACCACCTATAGGTACCCTTTTTTTTCCCTTTTTACAATGACGCTTTTCATATTTCTCTTATAGATCAAGCCAAGTTGTTTGTCAAAGTCTTTACCGAGATCGACAGAATGCCACAGCTTCTTGCCTACTACTACAAATGTCACAAAGTAAAGACCACATCAGATATGAGTTTATTATGACCATTGCTGTCCATGTTCCGCAGACTCATGCATCTCGTGTTCTAGGGTCAGCTGGTGAATATGTGGCAGGAGATTTCTCAGACCGAGCTGAGCCTGAATCAGCAGCTGGCGGAGTTCTATGATACTTTGCTCTCCATGTGGCATTCTCAACTTCAGTGGACCATCCAGGTAAAGAGCAGGGAGGTACAAGGCCGAACTTGAGGTTGTCTATTGAGAGAAAAATGTCTGTAATAATGTTCAATGATAAAGTTTTTGCTCTTCAGTTCATGTGCAGACCATAATACATGTGACATTTGAGTCGAGTCTTAGTTTCCTCAACTTTTGTGATATCTTTGAATGATATGAGAGACATGAATCGCACTATACCGCAGATACAGTATGAATCACAAAACCTGCTGTGTTGCAATATGTTATATACTGTACATATATAGATTATTATTATTTTAAATCTTTAACACATTATTTAACATCTTGCAATAACATTTTTAAAAAAGCTTTCTATTTCCATGGTTGCATGACCGTTTAAATTGAATGCCCCCCATAATTATGGTCCAATAATTGCAATACTAAGATGATAAGATAGACTTTATTGATGTCACACTGGAGAAATTTACATCAAATCATCACATTTTTTTATCTCCTGATAAAGGCCTCACATGTTTTACTGAGAGAGGCGTGTATTCCTGCTCACCCACGCTTTCATTGTTCTTGTAGGTGTTCAAGAATCCCTATGAGGTGGTGACAGTGCTGCTGATCCAGACGCTGGGGGCCATGGTGCCGTCCATCCCTGTGTGTTTGAGCTCCGCCATGGAGCGAGCGGCGCAGGACCAGCGCCTCAGCACTTTGTTAGAGCTGCACAACACCACAGCCGCCTTCGGACACAGTCTGGAGGCCGCCATGCTGCCACACCTGGGTACAGACACGACACATACACAGCTTTACGAGCACTGGGGTGAAGGTCAGGTTCAAATGAAAGGAGCAGTATGTACAAATCTGGCTAAAAGTGGTACTGCAACCTCTCCCACTCTTCCCAACTCAGGTCGCCAGATATGCAGACAAATCCAGCTGGGACCATGTAACTGAATCAACAACAATTTTGTCAACAACGATAACCAACACCTCACAAAGGTCCCAATAGAAATCCTCGTTTTATTCCCTGTTTTGTTGTTAATGATTTGAGAATCATAACAAGACCCTTTCTTAGTACTGCAGCATGACATGTTACTTTACCAGTGAGACTAGCTTGATGCTGTGAGATCTGGCAACCTGGATTACGGACTTTCTTATTGGTAAAACAGTGGAGGGCGGGACATCAAAGTGAAAACAATCATTTTTAAATTAAAATATCTCTGAACGACTGTTCAATTAATGAAGTATTGGAAAAGAGCATGTTTTATTAATACCTCTTGACAGCTTAGGGCCATTTAATGATGACTTGACATGAAAATCTTACATATTGCTGCTTTAAGATGAATAGATCCTTTATTCTTTCCACTGGGGAAATGTCAGTGTTGCATCATTGATTATTTAACTGTAGGAATGAGGAACACACGGCTGCTAAATGAACAATAATTCTATGCTAAAAGAATACAAATAAAATCTCTAACTTTTTGCATGATAAAGAAGAAAGTATAAAGTTTCTATATTAACTCTAGGATTTCTGAAACTACTAGAACTCCCAGAGCAAACAGTTTGACGGCTCCCGTTCAAATTAGTGGAGCTCTGGGAAAAATCTCCTAAAAAACTATTACAATTCTTACAATTTTCATTTAAAACTTGCTTTTCTACATCTTCATTACATTCCATAGTTGGTTTATATGAATAAAAAACTAAACTTTATGCCAACTGCAGCAAGTAAACAGTGTGTTGCTATGGTAACTACTCCAAGCTGAGATCGCCCTGACCCAGTTCAAGGCAGAGATCATTTCATAAAAATAATGACAAAGAAATAAACTACATGTAGAAAAAGAAAGTCACAAAGTTCTGAAGCCCAAGAATGTCCATAAGCAGAGAAATTACACTTAAAACAAAAAACCTTCACATTGACTGCTCTGAATCCCAGTGTCATTAATCTAATAATCCAATACAAATCATCTCCAGGCGACAATAACCTGCTGAAGGTGAATGAGCTCGTCTGCGCCCTCTTCGACCCGTACAGACCATACCAGCTGCAGTACGGGGAGCTGGAGGAGAACCACCTCCTCATCCAGATCAGTGCTGTGCCCCTGGTATGTTTACTCCTCTGGTATGTTTACTCCTCTGGTATGTTTACACGTCTGGTATGTTTACACCTCTGGTATGTTTACACCTCTGGTATGTTTACACGTCTGGTATGTTTGCTCCTCTGGCATGTTTACACCTCTGGTATGTTTACACCTCTGGTATGTTTACACCTCTGGTATGTTTACACCTCTGGTATGTTTACACCTCTGGTATGTTTACACCTCTGGTATGTTTACACCTCTGGTATGTTTACACCTCTGGTATGTTTGCTCCTCTGGTATGTTTACACCTCTGGTATGTTTGCTCCTCTGGTATGTTTACACCTCTGGTATGTTTACACCTCTGGTATGTTTACACCTCTGGTATGTTTACACCTCTGGTATGTTTACACCTCTGGTATGTTTAATCCTCTGGTATGTTTTCTCTTCTGGTATGTTTACACCTCTGGTATGTTTGCTCCTCTGGTATGTTTTCTCTTCTGGTATGTTTACACCTCTGGTATGTTTACACCTCTGGTATGTTTACTCCTCTGGTATGTTTGCTCCTCTGGTATGTTTGCTCCTCTGGTATGTTTGCTCCTCTGGTATGTTTGCTCCTCTGGTATGTTTGCTCCTCTGGTATGTTTACACCTCTGGTATGTTTGCACCTCTGGTATGTTTGCTCCTCTGGTATGTTTACTCCTCTGGTATGTTTACGCCTCTGGTATGTTTGCTCCTCTGGTATGTTTGCTCCTCTGGTATGTTTGCTCCTCTGGTATGTTTGCTCCTCTGGTATGTTTGCTCTTCTGGTATGTTTACACCTCTGGTATGTTTGCTCCTCTGGTATGTTTGCTCTTCTGGTATGTTTGCTCCTCTGGTATGTTTGCTCCTCTGGTATGTTTGCTCTTCTGGTATGTTTACACCTCTGGTATGTTTACACCTCTGGTATGTTTACACCTCTGGTATGTTTGCTCCTCTGGTATGTTTGCTCCTCTGGTATGTTTGCTCTTCTGGTATGTTTGCTCCTCTGGTATGTTTGCTCCTCTGGTATGTTTGCTCTTCTGGTATGTTTACACCTCTGGTATGTTTACACCTCTGGTATGTTTACACCTCTGGTATGTTTGCTCCTCTGGTATGTTTGCTCCTCTGGTATGTTTGCTCTTCTGGTATGTTTACACCTCTGGTATGTTTGCTCCTCTGGTATGTTTGCTCCTCTGGTATGTTTGCTCTTCTGGTATGTTTGCTCCTCTGGTATGTTTGCTCCTCTGGTATGTTTGCTCTTCTGGTATGTTTACTCCTCTGGTATGTTTGCTCTTCTGGTATGTTTACACCTCTGGTATGTTTACACCTCTGGTATGTTTACACCTCTGGTATGTTTGCTCTTCTGGTATGTTTACACCTCTGGTATGTTTACACCTCTGGTATGTTTACACCTCTGGTATGTTTGCTCCTCTGGTATGTTTTCTCCTGTGTTGTTCATGTGACATCACTACACTCCAGAGAGCCTATAGTTTAACATTGTGGTGGAGCTGAATATCTTTCCTGGTCACTATGGAAACAGTCAAAAGTTACTTCTAGTCTCAGTTTAGTGCAGGGGTGTCAAACCAGTCCTCAAAGAGCCGATGTGGCTGCAGGTGTTCATTCCAACCAAGCAGGAGCACACTCCACCCATTTCCTCAGTGAGTCTAGTTTGAAAGGTTATGATCTGGTGACATTTTCTTTAAAATGAGTTAATTTGCTTCAATTTATTGTTGTATATTGCCCTAAATCACAAGAGTAGTTATTTTGGAGGACTTTACAAAGCTGTCGCCAACACAGATCAGAGAATAAAACTGTTCCAACACAAGAAAAGCAACGATAAAAAACACATAGAGCCATTGGTCCATAAACGTCAAGCCTGAATCTTAAAACATGCTTCTTTTTCATTCCACACCGTGATATTAACGGTGTCATATTCCAGGAACACGGGGAGGTCATGGACTGTGTGGAGGAGATGAACCACTCCGTCGGCAAGTTGTTGGGCCTGTCCAGCGCCGCCGTGGAGCGGTGCATCAGGCTGACGGACGGACTGGCAGTGTGCGGACTCCTCAAAGCCCTCAAAGCTCTCTTCACAAAGTACCCACTGCCCTTCACCATCAGCACTTTGCTTTGATTGAAAGAGCCGGGTCTTCTATGCTCTTTGCTCTTTCTCTTTCAGATACGTATCGGACTTTTCCAGAACGTTGCAGTCCATCAGGAAGAAGTGCAGACTGGAGGAGTGGCAGAGCTCTGGGGTTTTCCAAGAAGACTGGACAGCCTTTCAGAACTGCATCAGGTGAGAGTCGTGATGATCCAAGTTTGATTTATTTGAGGACAATTAAAAAGATGGCGACAGTGGCTCAGTTGGTAGAGCATTGAATTGGCCTTAGAGCCTAAAGGTTGTGGGTCGAGCCCACCACAAGACCTACTATATGACTATTACTGATGACTGCTTTCATTGTGTCCTTGGGCAAGACTCACAACCCCACTTTGCCTGAAGCCCCCGCTGAGTAATCAAGGCTCCTGTGGACTCGTCACCTGCAGGAGGGTCAGTGAGGGGCTGGTGCTCTGTGACTGGGTGCAGCTCTGAATGCCACCCCCCCGACCCAGAAATGGATTAAGGGGAAGAAATGGATGGATAGATATTCACATACATTTCAAAATAAAGAGCAAGTTACTAAAATAAACATTAACAAACAGTTGAACCCTATTGAGAAGTCTTTTTGACAACTTTCATTCAAACCAATGGAATTCTAAAGAATCCACTAATTTTTGCAGCCGAGGTAAAAACTGTATAAATGACTAAAATAGTGACTGTGACTTGAAATAAAAAGGAAATAGTTTAGTGAAAGGCTTGAATGCTAACTGTTATCAAGTAAAGAGTGTGTCGCTATGGTAACTAGTACTCGCTCTTCTCTGGTGGAATCTGGACCCAGATCAGACCAGAACCAGGACTTGGGAGAGAAAGGGGCTTTAACTGCCATAGAAAGCTGGTTGCTAAGTGACCGGAAAATGACTCAAATTTGAACTTTTACTTTCAAAGGAATGAAGCAGTCAAAACAACACCTTTGGGAGTTAAATGTAGGACTACTTACATTTTAACAAAACAATTCCATAAACTACCTATAGAAACGGGAAAAAGTCACAAATGTATAAAGACCGCAAATGTACAGGAGGCGAGCAGAGTTCTAGTGTTAGATCTTCCTGATGGTCTGTTGCCCTGGTAACGGCCTTGGAGGTAATGTTTGTTTTGTTTCTTCAGGATCATCGCAACCTGTGGAGAGCTGCTCCGACAGTGTGGGGCCTTCGAGCAGCAGCTGTCCAACAAGTGAGTGAGCAGTCGATTTGACTGCTGTAGACCAGGGCCTCAACGCAGGATTCAAAGGGCTGGTCTCGATAGGTAGATAGATACTTCTAGATAGATAGATAGATAGATACTTCTAGATAGATAGATAGATAGATACTTCTAGATAGATAGATAGATACTTCTAGATAGATAGATAGATACTTCTAGATATATAGATAGATACTTCTAGATAGATAGATACTTCTAGATGATGGATCAATAGATACTTGATGGATAGATCCTTTATTGATCCCTGTAGGAGAAACTCAGGTGTAGAATCACATCCATCCAAACAAACAAACACATAAATACAATTCTATAAGACACTGACAATAGTAGAAAAGTGCACAACTCTGTCACTTTTCACTGCTGCTATTATTACTATTTATTAGGCCCGAGCCCCAACTGGGGTAAGGGCCTATTGCTTTCCCAACAAGTAATAACTGGGGTTTGCCCAGGCATTACTTGTTGTAACTGTCATAAGTCACAATCTCCGGGCGCAGCCACCTCCGTTGCGCTGTGCGGCGAGGGCCGTTTGACGCCGCTTGCGGCTTTAATTCTGGTTTATTCTATTCTATTTCTATTCTCTGCTGCTAAAGCACAATATAAATATCTGTAAATACCTCCCGCTGACCACAGTGTAGACTCATCTGCTCTTATTTCTAACGATATCTTTTTGTGTCTGCACATATGACTATGGTCTAAGTATTTTCTCATGTGTCTAGAAGTGATGAGAATATTCAAAAACAAATGCACGATGTTGCGCGGTAGGAAGGATCTAATCTCTGTCAAATAATGAAATGGGAAAACATTTTGGTATTTTATCATTAAAATAAAACAATGGCTTGGTATGGTTTTTATTGTTAAAGGGACAGTATATAATAAACATTAGCCCAGAGGAGAAATTCATTGTACCAGGTTGTAGCAGCAGTGCTAATTCACACCTGTCGTCCCCAAGCAGGTTGTTGTAAAACATGACCATACATTATCAGACATAAAATTAATTTACCGTGTAAGTATTAACAAAACTACCTAGCCCCCATTCTTCACTTTTTCTCGACACATACATTCAGAGTTGTATTGGCCTCTGCTTAAATACTGAAATACAATAAAACATGAATATAACGTTTCGTATAAACACTTCATAGCGGTATTATTATTTGTATATGAATCACTCAGAGTTTTGATAGAAGACTGCATAGATCAGGGGTGTCCAAACTTTTTAGCAAGAGGACCACATTAGTTCATCAGACTTGACCTGGGGCCGACGACCTGGATTTAAAAAACTGGATTTGAGCTGGATTGACTGGATTCTGGAATTTAAACTGGGTTAAGATACATCCTTATTTGTTCACACCACGGCAGCATTTTATTTGGATAAGATAAGATAAACTTTATTGATCTCACACAGGAGAAATTTGACGGTATTGGTGGAGCTGAAGTTGGTTGGATGACTCTGTCAAAGTGCCTCAATGGCGACTTTGGGTTAGCAGCAGAGGGCCGCAAATGGACCGTGGGCCTGAGTTTGGACCTGCTGGGTATCGATAGATAGATACTTCGGGTGTTCAGTAGCAGCAGAAACATGTCCATCCATACAAACAAAACAAATAAAAACATAATACTAAAAGTAGCTAACAATAGTAATAAAATGTAACGGCACTTTAGCAAGAAAAATGACAATCGTAAAGCACAAAACAACCGAAGTTTCAGAGCTTCTCGGGACGCGCTGTCGTTTCCAGTGCATTCGATCGTAAATCAAGCACTTATTGCGAACTATCACTTACGAACCTCACGGTGTGTTTGGCTCTGACCGCTGTTGTCTGCGGCAGGATCCTGGGCACGGCCGGTAAATACCTGTCCGAGTCGTACAGCCCGCGCAGCCTGGCCGGGATCCAGGAGGTCAGCTCCGCGGAGAGGAAGAGTGCCACCAAGAACCCCTGGCAGGAGTACAACTACCTCCAGAGGGGCAACACGGCCGAGTACAACAGCCTCATGGAGCTGCTCTACAATTTAAAGGTAACACAACTTCAGGTGTGACTCGCACAATTACAACATCGCTCATAAGTTAAATCACTTGTTATTGATCTTAAAACTAATATGTTAGACTCACATCATATACATTTGCCTTTGAGCCATAATCAACATAACAGACTGTTTTTAAATGAATCTTTTTATTAGATGTTTTGTTTTTGGTTTTTACTTTGAGCCAATTATTAAGAGATTAAGAGGAGCACACTGCACAAGATAAATTAACATTGACTCTATACTAATTAAAAATAAAATATAAGCCTTAACTTTATCAACGTTATAATGAAGATGTGTCACTTTAAATGAGTTAGTTTCACATTTGAAGTTAAATGACAGAAGTAACTTAATAACAATATTCTAACGATTAGTATTTCACATTGTAGATTGGAATATCGTTCAAACTCACTCTGCAGAAACAAGATGAGGTTCTTTTCATTCGAGCCCAAAGTGTCATCACCCTTTTGTCTTTTGCCATAAGCACAATGTTAATAATGTTCTTTTCATTGATGGTCTGCAGGAGAAGGGCACAGGGAACTCCAGCCTTTTAGCGGAGCCCAGAGCCGCGCTGACCAGACTGAACCAGCAGGCCAACCAGCTGGCCTTCGACTCAGTGTTCCTGCAGATCAAGCAGCAGCTCTGCCTGGTCTCAAAGATGGAGGTGAGGCTTGAGTTTCACGATTTATTTGATTTTGAACGATGACGGAAAACCGGAACTTCCTGATTTGGTTGAAAGCGTGAAGTGGGAGATCTTGTTTCATAACAGACACTTTTCGTTTGTGCAGAGCCGCAATGGGCCTGGGTTAGGAGAGAACTACACAGAGGACCTGCCGACCTTCAGCCTCTCCCCACAAGAATATATCACTAATGTACGCAGCTTTACATCCTTCTAGCTGTGGTCATCACTGGATACAAAAACAGCAATACAGGTTGAAAAGAGGTTGGACAAGGCAGACATCTAACTCCAGCCTCCAGCCTCTCGAACACACAGGACACAGATCCAAGCACTCTCCGACCATACACCCATCTCCCAACAACTCGCTCCACATACTACTTCAGTTGCACGTTTTTTTTAAACAATTTTTGAACTTTTTTAATCATCTGCTAATTTATTTCAAATAGTTCCTCAATAGACAGAACCACATTGAGTTTAAAGTAGTTCTATTGAAACACATGTATCTGTTGATTCCAGGTCAAATTGTCCACTTAATGAGTAAAACATATAATAATAATGCATCAGTTTTATACAACGCTTTTTTGGACACTCAAAGATGCTTTAAATGTCCAAACACGGTGGTGATAAACTACTACTGTAGCCACAGCTGCCCTGGGGCACACTGACAGAAGCGAGACAACCAGTCTGTGCCATCGGCCCCTCCGACCACCAACCGTTCACACACACACCAGACTCATTCTAGGCAATGGGGGTGAAGTGTCTTTCCTAAGGACACAACAGCAGTTTGGCACTTTACAGCCGCAGCCGCCCCACTGTGGCTGGTGTTCCCAGAGGTTAAGTGTCTTGCCTCTGGGACGACAGCAGACATCAGTGGGAGTCAGTGGAGAAAGTCTTGTCTTGCCTCGAACCCACAACCTTCAGTCTCAAAGGCCAATGCTCGACCAACTGAGCTACTGTCGCACCCCATATATACAGTACATTTATATTGATGGACAGTGAGTAGGAGGAGGCAAGAAGTGGAAATGGAGTGTATGAAGAGAAAGAGGAGAGAGAATGTGGAGAAGTGGTGGTTCTACAAAGGAGAATAAATGTATTGCGTAGAAAACTTGTAACAGGTCAAACTCACACGTTTATTTGAGTTGCTTGTGTCTGAACGAAATAATTACTGTAGAGTCCCAGCAGGAGGCCACTCCCTGTGCTCCTCAGAGTCCCAGCAGGAGGCCAGTCCCTGTGCTCCTCAGAGTCCCAGCAGGAGGCCAGTCCCTGTGCTCCTCAGAGTCCCAGCAGGAGCCCAGTCCCTGTGCTCCTCAGAGTCCCAGCAGGAGCCCAGTCCCTGTGAGCCCAGTCCCTGTGCTCCTCAGAGTCCCAGCAGGAGGCCAGTCCCTGTGCTCCTCAGAGTCCCAGCAGGAGCCCAGTCCCTGTGCTCCTCAGAGTCCCAGCAGGAGGCCAGTCCCTGTGCTCCTCAGAGTCCCAGCAGGAGGCCAGTCCCTGTGCTCCTCAGAGTCCTCCTTGGTTCTTATGTCACTAACCAGTCACAGATGTAACTTGGTGCGAGGCCACAGGAGCCAGTGCAGAGACCTGAGAGCTGGACTAACGTGATGGTACTTCCTGGTTCTTGTCAGGACTCGGGCCGCAGCGTTTAGAATATACTGCAGCTGTTTTACAACCTTTTAACGTATCTGCATCGACTCTTCACAGGAACAGGGAAACCTCCAACAACAGATCAGAGAGAGAGGCAGGATGTAGAGCGGCTGCCATGAGCCCAGAGGAGACAGATATGAGATTATTCACACATGTTTTTTGTGTTTCCTCTTAGTTTATGGTGAGCACATAGAATACAGCCTCTTATTCCTTATTCCTATTTAAAAAAACAGAGGTGGCAACTTGTGAACAGTGGATTCATTCACTGGTTAGCCATGCTTCTAAGGTCAAACACTTATTGGCTTCAGTTCTACAATGTGTTTAATGTAATTTTCTCTGCTGGCGCCAAACATTTCGATTTCTAGTACAATAGTTTTTCAAAGGCAACTTGTTAATGTGAATTGGTACACAAAAAATCATATTACTTTGATTATCAATACTTTTATACTTTCATTTGTTCTGAGATCCACACTTTGACCTTGTAATGTTGCTGCCAGGTTTTGTAAATTGGATTATAATGGGGATCACTCTGGTGCTTTCGTCATCTCTGTGAATAAATAATTGCAACTGTTGTGGATCGTGTGCTTTGCCCTCCAGATTGGACAGTACCTCATGTCTCTGCCGCTTCACCTGGAGCCTTTCGTCACACAAGAGGACCCAGCTCTGGAGATGGCGCTGCATGCTGGGAAGCTGCCCTTTCCTCCAGAACAAGGTCACTTTCTAGAAACTGTTTTGCGTTTTCCCGGAGTAATGGGCAGACGAAGCCCCGTAACACACCGAGGCTTTCTTTTTGCCAGATTGTCTCAAATGTGTCGCAGCCTCTGAGTATCACTGACATCTAGTGCAGTGGTTCTCAAAGTGGGGTCCTCGGACCCCCAGGGGTCCGTGGCCCAATATCAGGGGGTCCGTGAAAAGGGTTGGTTATTAATAAGAAAAATATATATTTTATATTATTTTAATATATAATAATAATAATATAATGATATATTATATATTATTTTAAATCGTGTACATATTCACAAACCTACACTAAATTTAATCTGCAATTTATTTTGTGAAATATAAAAAAAGAAAAAAAAATAGATCCACATAAATCACGTCCACTTATCAGTGACGAGCTTTGACGCGCGCAGGCTCTGCCTAGCTACTTAGCCATGGATGCGTTTTTAACACCGTCAACTTCATCTAATGGGTGAAAGACATCGAAGCAGAACTACTGGACAGACTGCATTCATGTGAGCAGTTTTCAATTCAGCTGGACGAATCTACGGATATATCTAATGCCGCTCAGTTAATTGTGTTGGTGCGATATCCATGGGAAGATGTTGTGGAGGATTTCTTGTTTTGTAAAGAGCTTAAGAGAACAACGGGCGAGGAGGTATTCAGACTTGTAGATGCTTTCTTGACAGATGCTCGTCTGAGCTGGGACAGGTGTGTGGCTGTTTGCACGGAAGGTGCAGCCGCTATGACAGGGCGGAAAAGTGGACTTGTTTCGCGCATTAAGTCTGTCAACCCAAACATCATAGCGACACACTGCATGTTACATCGACAGGCCTTGGCAGCAAAAGACGCAAGAGACCCGGATCTCCACTCTGTTTTAAATACTGCTGTTTCTGCTGTAAACTTCGTGAAGTCAAGTGCGCTACAGTCCCGTTTGTTTGGACAACTTTGCCGGGACATGGATGCTGAGCATGAAGCGCTGCTTTATCACTCGGAGGTGCGCTGGCTCTCTTGTGGTAAAGTTTTGCAGCGAGTCTTTAAGTTACGCAAAGAAATGGGAGAGTTTTTAAGAGAGCAAAAAACTGACCTTGCAGAGATTTTCACTAATCCAGAGAGTGTATGTAAATTGGCCTATCTTTCGGATATTTTTAATACATTGAATGGCCTGAATCTCTCCATCCAAGGAGCGCATACATCAAGCCTTCATGAAGAAAACGGACCTCTGGGCACGAAGGATACAAGACGGAATAACGGACATGTTTCTCCAACTGAGTGACTTTCTTCATGCTGACGTCACTGTGCCAGCACTTCCGCTTGTACTTTTCTGAAGTGAACACTGATGCCTGGGACTGGGTGCGCGACCCCTTTGCACCTGGATCACCCAATAGCCTAACAGGTGAGGCAGAAGAGCAACTGCTGGAAATATCATAAATAGCCCAAATATCGGGCGGCACGGTGGCTGAGTGGATAGCACTCTCGCCTCTCAGCAAGAAGGTCCTGGGTTCGAATCCCGGTCGGACCAGGGCCTTTCTGAGTGGAGTTTGCATGTTCTCCCCGTGTCTGCGTAGGTTTCCTCCGGGTACTCCGGTTTCCCCTACCACTAAAAATATGTCCAATAGGTCTGGCATGTGCCTCCTGTACCGGCGCCCCTGCTCCCATCTCTGTGTGGAGTGAGAGACAAATGCCCAAAAATTAACACTTGTAAACCGCTTTGAGACTCTGATCTGCAGTGAAAAGGCGGTATATAAATAAAAACTTACTAACTTACTTACTTACTATCATGTGACAGGACACTGTCAGATTCCTACAGGTCAGTACTGCTAACTTTTGGCTGTCTCTCAAACAAGACTATCCAGAACTGATAACTAAATCTTTACAAATATTGCTCCCCTTCCCAACCACGTACCTCTGTGAGTCCTCTTTTTCCACTTTGACTGCAATGAAAAATAAATACAGGGCACGTTTGCATGTAGAAGACAATCTGAGAGTTCGTCTGTCCTCCATTGCTCCAAGACTGTGTAGTCAGAAGCAGGCACATTCATCTCATTGACTTATTAGTTTTTTTATGATATTGGACTTTTTCGAGTCAGAGAAATGTTTGAGGTTGTGTGGAGGCAATATTGCAACATAGCACCTTTTATGATGTTGTTTTTGTTGTTGTTGACAAAACATTCAGTTAGCAGCAGTCTTTTTTGGGGGTAGTTGACCCAGTTTGTCTGTTTTGAAGAGGCCTGCTATGTTTAATTTTCTTGTTGTGGAAACTTTAGCATAGCTGAAAAGAAGCAAATGTACTTGGTGTTCAAATATTTGAATAAAAAGTGCTCTTAAATCATTTAAATGATTTACTTTTTGCTTTCCTCAAAAAATTGTGTTAAGGGGTCCTTGAAAATTTTGCTTACCTAAAAGGGGTCCCTGAGTCCAAAAAGTGTGAGAACCCCTGATCTAGTGGACAAATGTAATCATTGCGGCTTCTGAATACTTGAGTGCACAGCAAAAACCGCACCGCTTTTGTTAATAACAATTTCACCATGAAACATAAATGGTAGAAAACACTTAATTGTAAAAAAAAAAAAAAAAAAAGAGATTGATGTGATAATTTCTTGTTAAGTTGAATAAGATATAAAAAAATGATCCCAAACCATATTTCCCCATTTTCCACTTGCAGATGGCAATAAGTCGCCAAAATCACCAACACTATACAACATTGTGAAGAAGTATTGATGCATCATTTATACTGTAGCTAGCTAGCGCCTACTGCAGTCTATGCTATCGTCCAAAAGTCTGTCACGTCCAAACCATAGACCAGGGGATTCCAACCTTTTCCGATTGGAGACCTACCTTTATAAGAACAGAAATGGCAGAGAGCTACTTCTTGCTAAATATATCTTGTCTATATTACAGCCAAACATGGAGAACACACATGCATAATATACCATTACACCCTACAGCGTCCTTGTATCAATGTAAAGTTTTATAGTTATAACAGATGTAGAGACTCAAAAGTGAATCATTCAGGATCATGTGTTAAATTCTTCAATCTTTTCGGGAGCTACTTGAAAGGTGGTGGCGAGCTACAGGGAGCTCTTGAGCCACAAGTTGGAGGCTCCTGCCATAGACCAACTCTCTGAACCAATGCGAGGCTGGGAAATGAAGCGCTTCGACACACCGACACAGTTGATACACAAAGCGAAGCAGTGGCCGTAGAGTCCGAGACGCGCAATAAATAAAGTTCATATTGATGACACTTATATCGTTGTTATTATCTTCACCATCATCATCATCATCGTCACTTTTGCCACTATTACTGTTATTATATTATTTTTGTTATTGTCATTGTTCTCTTGCCTCTTGCTTCTTGCCCTCGTTAACAATCACTTACACCATACCACCAAGTCCCATCAATATGCTCGGATATCTAATCAATAAACACACACAAAAAAAAGTCAATTATAAATTACACACACACTCACGGACCCCCCTCATGTATGTATGATTGGGATAAATGCCAATGTTGTAATGTATTTTGTATGTTAAAAAAGAGTGGGAGAAGCGTCGGCGTGGTTTGCCCGTCACTACTTTCCTCTGCTCTCCTGTTTGACCCCTCCCCGTGGACCACTTCTGCTTTCAGGGGACGACTTTGGAGAGCTGGACAACACGGCTGATTACTGGTTAGGATCCATCGCCCGAGCCACGATGCAAACTTACTGCGATTCCATTCTCCTGATTCCCCTGCTCAGCCCGCATTCCGTCAAACAGCTGGCCACAGATATCGGTAACGTCAACAACATTGTCTTCTTGTTGAATAATAGCAGCGATGTTTTTAGTCTAGACATGTTTTTATCACAGACAGCCCAATGTATTGTGCCGATTTTTTTAACGTTTTTTTAAAATATCAGCCTTAACTTACACGCATACTATTTTCAGAGGTACTGTAGGTGGAATCGAACCCAGGACCTTCTTGCAGTGAAACACAAGCGCTAACCACTGCATACGTTTATTCTGACAAAATGACCATAGTCCCATGTTTATTTACAGCCTTTAAGAAACATCTGCCATCGGCCAATCAAACTTGAGCATCAGCAACAGGCTCACAAAACTCCGACCAATCAAGTTTTTTTTCTCTGTTTTTTTTTTACACAATAGTTGGAATGAGGAGCACACAGCACAAGATAAATTCATAATAAATCTTAACAAACATATAATAAAATCTCTATCTTTAGCATAATAAGGAAAGTCGTCTGAAATCTCACATATAATGAAGGAGCAAGACTTGGGCACATAATCTCTGACTTTAGCATAATAAAGAAACAAGTATAAAATGCTTTATATTCTAGTGCTATAATAATATATAGTTGGCACGGAAAGTTTTTTGGTATAGCACAATTCATACACAAGGCAACTCAAAATGCTGAAGACAAAACAAGATAGAAACAGACACACAAGGCGTTAAAACCGTGAATATCACAGTATTTTGAAAATAAGGATTAAATTATATAAAAAATCCCTCAGTTGTGTGCATGTATGTGTACAATAATAACACATATTGTACATTCTGACATTAGTAGGGAGGGGGGATCTCAGTGTGTGTGTGTGTCTCTGTGTGTCTGTGTGCGTGTGTCTGTGTGTGTGTTTGTGTGTGTGTATCTCTGTGTGTGTGTGTCTCTGTGTGTCTCTGTGTGTGTGTGTGTGTGTGTGTGTTTGTGTGTCTGTGTGTTTGTGTGTGTGTGTCTCTGTGTGTGTGTGTCTGTGTGTGTTTGTATCTCTGTGTGTCTGTGTGTGTTTGTGTGTGTGTGTGTCTGTGTGGTTGTGTGTCTGTGTGTGTTAGTCTGTGTGTGTGTCTGTGTGTGTGTGTTTGTGTCTGTGTGTGTATCTGTGTGTGTGTCTGTCTGTCTGTGTGGGTCTCTGTGTGTGTGTCTCTGTGTGTGTTTGTGTGTGCGTCTCTGTGTGTGTTTGTGTGTCTGTGTGTGTTCGTGTGTCTCTGTGTGTGTTTGTGTGTCTGTCTGTGTGTGTGTTCTTGTGTCTGTGTGTGTGTGTGTGTGTGTGTCTGTCTGTGTGTGTGTTCTTGTGTGTGTGTGTGTCTATCTGTGTGTGTAATAATTTCTTGTTTTCTCTATACGCACGACATAGACATTAAAGTGGTTCTTCCGTACACATAGTGAGCAGATGCCGTTCTCTCCCTCCAGACTATCTGAGCAACGTGATGGACGCCCTGGGGCTGCAGCCCTCGTGCACGCTGCAGCACATTCTGACTCTGCTCCGTGTCAAACCAGAGGAGTTCAGAGCCACGGCCAAAGTCCTGCCCCGACGCCTCAGCTCCACCATCGCCGCGCTCCGCTCCGTCAACTACTGAAGGCAGCAGGAAGCAGCGAGAGAGAGAGAGAGAGAGACTGATACCTGCAGAGACCTGCGGGAGCCGTCACCGCCTTCAAGACTGTCATGAAACGTTGTAGTTTTAACGTCTGGGTTTTGGTGATGAGTGAAGCTAGCTGCGAATGCTAATGTACGGGTGATTAAGTGTCGGTGGAAATGAAGGGAAATGCAGTCGTTCTTGTGTAGATGCAGTATGGTTAAGTATCGTGGGACTGTGTAATATTTTCCTAAAGGGTCTGAGGGCTGGCGGGTTTATGTTTTAATAATAAACTGAGCTTCTGTTTGGTTTTACGGTTTATTCGCACCTGGAAAATAAATCTGACATTTGAACCTTTTGTGAACTGTTATTACCAAATGTAGTGCAAAATGGCAAAAACTTCAAATAATACTGCATGGACTCGGGCTCAAATGTTAAAAGCCTCGTCAAAAAACATTGCCGGGATCAAAATTGTTTGTGCCTTGTGCCACTGTCCAGAAATGTTAATAAATGTCACGGATTATCACAGTCCTTTCTTACGACAACAAAAAAAAACAATATAACTGGGAAATAAAGTGAGAAACCTCGGCCAAGCCCACATTGAGAGGGATCCTCCAGGACCACAGTCTGCCGTAGACCCAGGACTGAGGTTGTAAAATAAGGACCAATAAGGAAAGATTTCATAAGATTTATATAAGCTTACAATTACACTCTGTAATTAAAACAAAAATAATTGGCTTCTTTGAATCTTACATTTTTAGACTCTCATTCCCCTTTAAAACCATGGAGGTGGTAACTCCCACCAACAGTGGACTAATTCACTGTGGTTAGCAATGCTTCTAACTTCAGTCAATCATTTGGCTCCTGTTCTACAATGTGTTTATCATATTCTCTGCCCGAGTCAACATTTTTATTTTCAAAGGTAACTTGTTTATGTTGATTATTATTATTTTTAAACTCAAGACTTTAATAGTTTCACTGATTATTTAGTCATTTCACTAATTTCATGTTTTGTAGAATTTACACTTTTTTTCCTCTATGTGATGTTTGCACATCTGTTAATGCACATTTAAAAGATTTACAATCTTTCAAATAAAAAAAAAGTAATTTTGAGACCAGCCAGATCTATGTTAGAGCCATACAAGTGAGTTTCCCCGTTTCTTGTGCACATTTTTAAATGTTTTGCCAATAACAAACATGTCGCAGATTGTAACTTTCTGACCCAAAACGGAGATAAATGTTTTTGGAAATGTCTCCGTTTTGACCTGCTCTGGGTCTAATGCCAACATTGGACGATCGGTTTCAGTTTAAAGATGGGTCCTGGTTCTCACGGATGAGGTCTGGTGCCTGTGCTTCGGTGATGCTTCAGTGATGCTGCAGGTCACGTGCGTGCGTGAGTACCAGCGCGCTCTCCAATATGGAGCGTGTTTGGGTGTGACGTCAGCCGTTACCGCCCTGCTGTGGCTGCAGTATATCTGTGTATCATCTGTGTATGATCTGTGCATGAGAGCTGTGTGTTTGTGTGTGCGCGGACTGTGATGGAGCCCACCGCCGCGGCCCTCTGTCCCCGGCCTTGAGGCGCACGGACACGGAGGAGGACATTGCTCTGACATGAACAGAAGGAGGAGGAGAGATGCTCATCGTGAGGCCGCGGAGAGGGAGCGACGGGCTGCCCTCCGCCCGGGGCTCCCGCGCGTCTGCATGGACCCCCTGCGCACGGACATAAGGATGGTCGTGCGTGCGTCTCCATAACCGAACATCGCTCACAGCTCACGTTAAGGCGAGAGGACCGTGTGGAGCTGCGCTTTTCCTGAATAAATGATGAGGACTCCTGCCTGTCACTGTCTAATGGCTGATGCTGAGCGCTGTCTGTGATGCCTCTGCCCTGACCCACCGCTCCCTCTCCTCTGCCCCGGACAGTGACCCGCCGCTCCCTCTCCTCTGCCCCGGACAGTGACCCGCCGCTCCCTCTCCTCTGCCCCGGACAGTGATGCTGATGCAGCCTCGGTGTGAGCAGGAGGAGGATGGCTGCTGCCCTGTGTGCGCCGCGCTCTCCCCGTAGACGCGTGTGTTTATGCAATCCGACGCAGTGTTTGACTTCATGGCAGTGAGCCCCTGTGGCGGGTATCCTTTGAACAACACAATATGTCCGCGCCTTGTGTCAAACTAAAAGCCTAACTTTGTGTAAGGCACCTGACAGAGGCTTCATCATGTCGAAAGTAGTGAGTAACAAAGAGAAGAAGTCCTTTAGTAAGAAGCTGTTCCGCAGGAGCTCCGTACGCTCTGTGGGCAGCTTTATGAACAGAGTGCTGCGGACACTGTCCACTCTGTCCCACTTCAGCACAGATGAGAGCGAGCAGGACGACAAGGATGAGTCTGCCCTCATCCCCACCACCACTGCAGGCTCTGCTGCCTCTGATGACAGTGACTGTGGAGGGTTCCCTTTCTTTGGGGACAAGGTTCCTGGAGTGGCAGGTCTGAAGAACCACGGGAACACCTGCTTCATGAACGCCATCCTCCAGTGTCTGAGCAACACCGAGCTGTTCGCAGAGTACCTGGCCCTGGAGCAGTTCAGCGGCAGTGACACCGCCAGCAGCAGCGACAAGCCCAAGGCCAACGGGGTGGTCCTGGTCATGAGGGGCAGCCCCCCCCAGCAGGACTCAGGGGAGGTCACCAAGCAGCTGTCCGGCCTGGTGCGAGCTCTCTGGACCTCTGAGTACACACCCCAGCACAGCAGGGACTTCAAGGTGAGAGCTGAGGGTCTGATGTTTACATGCACTGTCTACATGCACAACACACACTGTTTATGCACAACACACACTGTTTATGCACAACACACACAACATAAACATGGAAGTGTCCCCTCTGCAGCCACACACTTCGTTCACTCAAATGTCTGTTTTAGTTTGAGACTGGTTCTAACAGATCATGAATTCAGATACAGTGTTCTTCTTTGATATAAACACTATAAAATAATGTTAGTTCTGTTCCTATAGATCCGAGCTGAGGCACACAGTCACATCGGTCCTCTGTGCAGTATGTTTTAGTCAGAACAATAACTTCAGCTCTGGTCTGCTGCAGATCTCTGCCTTTTGTTTTGGTCGATCTCCAGACTGACACCAGCTATTTTTCCATTCAGTCCTTTACGACCGATAGACAGGAACTCAACACGAGGCCAAACAAAACACAGATTATTTTTGGACGGTGTTGCTATTTTTGTGCATTTATTTCCGTCTCAGAAGGCTGTCTCAGAACAAAGCCGTACTACAGCGACGATAATACACGACCATATCCTGAAAATGAGCCTTAGCCTCGCAAAAAGTCAAACTAGCTTCTTGGATAAACAGGCAACACATGACTCCATTCACAGCAGAAAACATAACAAAAACAGACAAAAACACACAAAAACATTTATAGTTAAAACCACTTTGAGATATTTGTGCTAAAAGTGATGAGCCTCAAACAACTAAGAAAAAACACTTTTATCAAGTGTGCACCAGAGACAACAATATCAAAACACACAAATGTATAAAAACACCCAAAAAGCTCTAGTGATAAACTGGCCCCAGAGAGACGGGAGCTGCTGTACATGTGGTAAGGGAAACCAGCAGCAGACATGGGTAGAACATGCAAACTCCACTCAGAGAGGACCTGTTCGGAGGTGGAAGGCAGGGACCGTTTATTTGAAAGGCACGGTTCATAGACAACATCAAAATGCTGATCAAGACAATAACATTCTTATCACACACAGCGTTCGAATCATAAATAATCAGTTCATTAAAAAGAGTGAACGGAAAAGTTGTATTCAACAAGAAGTGTTTTAACCTGGATCTGAACATTGTCAAAGAAGAAGTCCGTCTCACAATTTCAGGAAGACTGTTCAAGATTGTAGCCGCGTGAATCTGAAATGCAGCCTCCTCATGTTTAGTCCTGACTCTGGGACCAGCAGGAGGCCAGTCCCTGTGCTCCTCAGAGTCCCAGCAGGAGGCCAGTCCCTGTGCTCCTCAGAGTCCCAGCAGGAGGCCAGTCCCTGTGCTCCTCAGAGTCCCAGCAGGAGGCCAGTCCCTGTGCTCCTCAGAGTCCCAGCAGGAGGCCAGTCCCTGTGCTCCTCAGAGTCCCAGCAGGAGGCCAGTCCCTGTGCTCCTCAGAGTCCCAGCAGGAGGCCAGTCCCTGTGCTCCTCAGAGTCCCAGCAGGAGGCCAGTCCCTGTACTTCTCAGAGTCCCAGCAGGAGGCCAGTCCCTGTGCTCCTCAGAGTCCCAGCAGGAGGCCAGTCCCTGTGCTCCTCAGAGTCCCAGCAGGAGGCCAGTCCCTGTACTTCTCAGAGTCCCAGCACGTTCACAACACTTTGGTGCGAGGTTCTGGAGAGACTTGTATGAACCAGGATCTTGTTGCTGAGAAGCGAGAGTGCTAACCACTTCCTCTCCGCGCACATGTTCTATTCTATTCTTTTTTAAGACCTGACGAAGACTTCTGGTTCAAATAAAGGACTTCTGCTCTGAGTTCTAGAAACAGGACCGTCATTATAAGTCTTTGAGTGTTCAAAAAGCCCGCTATAAAACAGATTATTATTATTATTATTATCATGACTATTATTTTTACCCCATATTCAAAACAATGTACTGTTCTGTTTCTCAGTTTGTGACTCAGACCAAGTGCTCAGTAAATGAACTGAAAGGAAATGAAATAATGTGAAAAGAAAAATACTTGTTTGCTCTTGTTGGATTTTGAGAATGACTTTGTTGATGAAGGCTGCAGTTGTTTCATGCTTCAGCTTCTTGTGATTGTTCCAATAGAAAAAGGTTGTGGAACACTGCTCTCGGATCCTTCTAATGAGATAAATAGCGTAACCATAAAAATGCAGTGACACAAATATCCCGTGGGTCTTTTGGTGCTTTCAGACCGCAAACGCTCAAACACTGAAGCCCCGCTCACCAGACGCACATTCTCTAGTTTTCAGACGCAGAGGACTTCACACCAGAACGTCCTGGTGCGCGCCGGAAGTGGCGGAAGTAGCCGGCCGGCTCTGATGCTAACAGAGTTATGCCAGCGGCTTCTTGTGTAAAGATCTTCTCCAATAATGTTCTGCAGCGTGTCTTTGCTCAGACACCTTCCACAGACTTTATATAACAGTAGTATGTGGTGATATGTAGTAGTATTATTAAACGGTTCTTCCGCATCGGCGAACACACTCGAAGCAGTTGCATAAAGTCACGGGAGCATGACAACGCATATATTCACAAGCACACAGTCCCCCATTGTCAACCCTGGTTTAGTCCTGGTAAAGCTCCTGTTTTGGCTGTTTACGAGTAATTTAAGTCTGCTCGCTCAGACCACTAATGTCCCCGTGACCACTTTGCTGCTCTCTGATTGGTCGCTGCACGAACGTCCCAAGGAAAGGATGAGCAAAGTTTATCTCCTGTGGGCGTCCATTTTCCGCTCCTGCTCCTCTCCTTCGACTTTCCCGCGCAGTCCGTGCGTCTCTACTGAGCGGTCCGTTCGTGCGTCCCGAGACGTTCGTGCGTTTTGACGCTCAAACGCGCGTCACCATAGACTTTGCATTGAAAGCCGACGCAACGCATGATCCGGTCTGAAAGCACCATTTGTCGGAGCAGGTTGAGGTCACTTTACTGACGGGTTTGGAGCAGGACCACTCCCAGCTCCAAATGTAGACCGGTCACCTCAGGTTGAGACGCCACATGTTATTGCAGGTTGACCTGAGGCAAAGTACGAGTGGTGCATATTTAATGAGAGTGCTGGACTCTGCACTAATGGGGCTCAGAAGGTGACGGATACAGCGTTTGTGTTTTTGACCTGTGCTATACAAAAAACTTACCATGCTGTAGATTGCTCATCTAAATGTTCTTTAACCATCCACACTGCAAAACGAGAGGGAAAATAAGTCAGAGATTGATCAAACTTGGCAAAATGTATCTTAATTTGAACAACTTAGAAGCAATATGTAAGATTTTTATGTCAAGTCACAATTAAAGGGCCCTAATCTGTCAAATTAATAATAACAGTAGTTCAGAGATATGAATTTCAAAATTAGTTTTACAATCGCTAAATCTTGTTATTGTTTTCATTTCGATGTCCCGCCCTCCACCGTTTCACCAATCAGAAAGTCCGTGATCCAGGGCGCCAGAACTCACCGCGTCAAACTAAAAAAGGTCTCGTTGTGATTCTCAAATAATTTATGACAAAAAACGGAATAAACCCAGGTTTTTTATTGGGGTCTATGTCAAAAAGGTGTTGGTTATAGATTTGTTGTTGACAAAATCCTTGTCTATTCAGCTGTTATGGTCCCAGCTGGATTCGTCTGCATATCTGGCAACCTGAGTCAAAGGGAGAGTGGAGGGGGTTGCAGTACCACTTTTGGCCAGATTAGCTCCTTTAAAACCAGATTTCCCATTTTGACATAGAAAAATGATCTTGTTTTAAAAAGATACAAGAAACATCTCCCTGGGAATGAGAAAATAAAGCAACAGTTCTTGAAATAAGACTAAATGTCTTTGTCCCATTAGTGACTCTCGTTTTAATACAGCCAGAATGTGCTCAGATTGAGATAGAAACCACTTGATTTCAGCATTTTTACCTCGGATTCGATCGCTTTCTGCAGTGCATCAATCGCGTTAGGCTTCGTGTTTCACTGTAGTAAGCATAAGTTATGTTTTGTTATAGAAAATGTGGAAATAATTGATTTGTGCTGCACATATACATTACACGTGACAGCTATGGCACACACGTGTACGCACCGGACACACACTCAAATGTGGGACGAAAAGATAGACATACAACAAACATGTGATCAATCACAATTCCTCCTGTGGAAGCTGCCGTCTCTTTCCCGGTGACTCTCTGTTTGTGCCTGATCTTGTTTAAAATAAATCACACATTCATTGTAAAAAAAAAATGTCTACCATAGAAATACATTTTAAAGAATTACTTTTTTGGCTCCCTTTGGGTAAATATTCAGTTCAATTGAATTCAATTTATTCTTGTATAGCCCTAAATCACACCAGTAGTCCTCTTCAAACTGTTGAATTCACCAACACAGATCAGAGAATCAGAGAACAGTTCAAACACACTATAATATAGAAGAACGTATTCGTCCAAAGGAAGAGATAAATGTCATACATGTTGTAGAATGTTAAAGTGTCCTGGATCATCACCACAGTCCTTCCAGTTAGACACTAACAGTCTAACAGACTCCTGCATCAGAGGAAAAATGGTGGGAAGTGAGAAACCACTACGGGGAGACCCATAATGAGAGAGGGATCTGCTCCACACGGACAGACGGGCTGTAGATCCAGGACCTAAGCTACAGAACGAGGACCAGGGCCATGCAGCGCAGGACTCAAGTTACTTAGCACTCAAACTATAGCAATCCTGAATCAAATTGAAATCATATGAACTTGAAAAGAAACGTTGAGCATTTCTGCAAGCTCAACTGCAGCACATTTATATATTGTATTTTCCTACAGCCCTATATCCCAACAGCAGTCGTATTGGACAAAACGAATGAACGGTTTTACACTGATCCAGAGCAGAGAATATGCTCTGAAGCCAAAACACCAACATACTCTGCTGCTGTGACATAAAGTGCTTTGGCTCTCTATTGTTATAAACTTTTAGAACCATGTATTTATTTGTTTTGTTTTAATGAAAGGATGGGTTTCTGCTGCTGGACATCTGAATTTTCTCCTACAGGGTTCAATAAAGATCAATAAAGGTAAACGTCATAGATCTCACAATGGAGAAACGTACATGTCACATTTGGCGTAAAAAGGATCACTCAGGGTTTAAACTGGAAATATACAATAGAGGTATTTTAGGTACAGTTAAGATTACATTTAAATTAAAAAAGTGACTATAGTAGTGCAGGTTTTCAGTCCTGGTGCAGGTCATTATTGTACAGTCTGACAGCAGTGGGGCGGTAGTGCTCCCCGTGGGCTCCAGGTGGGGGAGCGTCCACTGCAGCATGAGATGACAGCGTCCTCTACAACGAAATTATCCAAGTATCTTTCTATCAACAAAGCCCCTGCTGTGACCTGTGTGTTCTGCTTTGAGATTCTGCATGACTTTCACTTTGGGGTCAATAAAGTTTTCTGAATCTGAATCTGACATAAGAACCGTTTCCAGATACAAGAAGAAGTTAAGCCTTATTCGAACCATAAATGTCACAAATGTCATAGTATATAATTCAGATCTTTCTCACGTGTTCCAATCTTATCTCTAAACAACAACAACAACTCCGGCCTCTGCAGCGGCGAGCCCCTCCACGCTGCCTCCTCGGCGGCTTCCAAATCGGATTTCACTCTGAGATGTGATGAATTGCCCGACATAAAAAGCCACTTCCACCGGTCGGCCAATATCAACAGAACTCGGGACTCAATTGGAGAAAATATGGCGCTGAGAAAGCCATCAGGAGAGGGAGTATATGAGAGGACGGCGGCGCTGCGGCGGCGCTGCGGTGGGCTGCGGTGCGAATGAGGCTCAGCAGGAGGCGCACAGTGGTTTGACAGCTCCACACGCCGCTCTCCGTCCATTTGTGGTCTTTTCATTAAGTACATTAGGAAACACAGTCCTGATCAAAGACACGACTATCGGAAGAAAGAGTCGCAGTGAAAGGAGGAATCCTGCGGGTCCAGCTCTGAGCCTCGTCGCAACATGTTCATTTAAATGTATAGAACGAGGTCTTATGACGTTTTGCTGAACACCAGTCGTACAAACGTCGATGGTTCTCTCCTTCTGGATTTTATACACCAATTTAATGACTTTGAAATGCACATACAGAACAGACCGAAAATGTGGACACACTTTCTCATTCAACGACTATTGACTGTAGATTCACATCAGGCTGTGTAAGGGCTGTTTGACTAATAAGGAGAGTGACCTGGCCTCCACAGTCACTGGCCCTGAACCCAGTCCAGATGGTTTTGGACCTGAACCCAATCCAGATGGTTTTGGGGCTGGACCACAGAGTGCAGGCGAAAGGGCCAGCAAGTGCTAAGCATCATGGGAACTCCTTCAAGACTGTTGAAGATCATTTCAGGTCCCTACTTCCTGAAGCTCATCAAGAGAATGCCAAGAGTGTGTGAAGCGGTAATCAGAACAAAAGGTGCTACTTTGAAGAACCGAGAACATAAGACATATTTTCAGTTGTTTCATACTTTTTTTTATTACGTACATAATTTCACATTTTAGTTTATTCATAGTTTTGAGGCCTTCAGTGTGAATCTTCAATTTTCATAATCATGAACATGAAAAACTCTATTGTACATGATACGGGACATTAAAGGACATTTATGGACAATGGATAACAATCATTATCATTGTTATTTAGTATTCTTATTTATATATGATTTATTTTCGTTTTTTTTTTTTTTTTTGGTTTGTTTGGTTTTTGTTTTGTCATGTTTGCTCTGTTTGGGAATGTATTTTTGTGTTTTTGCTTTTGTTTTGTGTAATGTTTGTTTTCTTGTTGTAATGTTTGTTTTGTTGTTGAATGTTGTTGTGTTGGGTTTTGTTGTCTTAGAAAAAAAACAAAACATTTATGGACAGTGGTCATCTCGCCAAGTTATGTTTGTTATTTCTGCATTTCCTCAATTCAATTCAATTCAATTCAATTCAATTCAATGTATTCTTGTATAGCCCTTAATCACAACATTAGTTTTCTCTGAGGACTTCACAAAGTTGTCAATTCACCGAAACAGATCAGAGAATCAAACAGAAACACAATAATTGCAACACACACACAGGAGCAATTGGTCCCTAAACGGCAAATGTCCAATGTTCATAAATCCATCCATCCATCCATTTTCTTCCCTTTAATCCATTTCTGGGTCAGGGGGGTGGCAGTCAGAGATGCCACCCAAGTCTCATAGCACCAGCCCCTCACTGACCCTCTGCAGGTGGTGAGTCCACAGGACTCATAAATGTTAGTGAATATTATGAAAAGTGTTTGAAATGTGTTTGAGTTTCTGATCTGTTATTGAGGAATCATCAACTTTGTAAAATCTTTCAAGATGACTGCTTTGTGATTTAGGGCTATACAAAAATAGATGAAATAGATGCAATTATATTCTATGCACCCGCCGCGTTCAACCTATTTAAAGCTGGGATACCTGACTTTCAAAACACACAAAATCCATACTCAGTTTTTGCTCTTGATATATTTTGCTTCTTTCAGTAGTTTTCACATGTTTGGCCTCTGTCCCATGTTTAGATCATCTTTTTCAGACAGAGCAATGACAAAGAGAGGACCGCCCTCCCTCAGCCAATCAGCTCTCACCCCCAAGAGACCAATATAACTCTCTTTTTGTATTTGGGATTAGGATTTGTTCACAACCTTTAACTTTTACAATTCAGAAAAAGAAGATGGATTGTTCAGTCAGGCACCCCAATTTAACAAAAACAAACTAACAGCGTTTTTTCATATTTACAGATAAATTACTTTTTAGTCAATGAATCATTTCAAGGTTCAATGATCCTGTTTTGAGGTAAATTATCCTGTGAAATACTTTGTGCACGTTTGGGTGATTCCCCATAAACCTTTTCTCTTCATTGAAAAGGTAAATGATCACATTTCTGAAAGCGGTATCTATTTCTATCTCTCCATCTGTTTTCTTCCACTTTATCCGTCACCGGGTCGCGGGGGCAGTTGTCTAAGCAGAGCTGCCCAGACTTCCTTCTCCACACACTTCCTCCAGCTCATCTGGGAGAATCCAGAGGCGTTACCAGGACAGAGGAACACAGTCCTCCTTCATAAATGTGTTGGTTCAAATCTAAAAGACACAGTGTCCTGGGTCTCCTCACGGTCTCCTCCTGGTCTCCTCACGGCCTCCTCGCAGTCTCCTCCTGGTCTCCTCCTCCTCCCGGGGGCATGTTGGAACAGCTCCTCCGGGAGGTGTCCTGGAGGCATCCTAAACAGATGCCTGAGCCACTTCAGATGGCTCCTCTCGACATGCAAAAGCAGCGTCTCTACTCCAAGCTCCTCCCATGTAACTGTGGGCGCGCCCGTCACACGCCCGGCGGCAAACTCATTCTGACCACTTGTTTAAGAGATCTGTAATCACACAAACCGCCTGAACAGAGGAGAGGGAGGGACGCTCACCGGTTAATCGAGAGCTTTGCCTTTTCGACTCAGCTCACAGTCCGATACAGCTCTGACTGCAGACGCTGCTCCCTCTTCACCACAACAGTCCGATACAGCTCTGACTGCAGACGCTGCTCCCTCTTCACCACAAGTTTGATACAGCTCTGAATGCAGACGCTGCTCCCTCTTCCCCACAACAGTTTGATACAGCTCTGACTGCAGACGCTGCTCCCTCTTCACCACAACAGTCCGATACAGCTCTTACTGCAGACGCTGCTCCCTCTTCACCACAACAGTCTGATACAGCCCTGACTGCAGACGCTGCTCCCTCTTCACCACAAGTTTGATACAGCTCTGAATGCAGACGCTGCTCCCTCTTCCCCACAACAGTTTGATACAGCTCTGACTGCAGACGCTGCTCCCTCTTCACCACAACAGTCCGATACAGCTCTTACTGCAGACGCTGCTCCCTCTTCACCACAAGTTTGAATCAGCTCTGAATGCAGACGCTGCTCCCTCTTCCCCACAACAGTTTGATACAGCTCTGACTGCAGACGCTGCTCCCTCTTCCCCACAACAGTCTGATACAGCTCTGACTGCAGACGCTGCTCCCTCTTCACCACAACAGTCTGATACAGCTCTGACTGCAGACGCTGCTCCCTCTTCACCACAACAGTTTGATACAGCTCTGACTGCAGACGCTGCTCTGATCCATCTGTTAGTCTCACCTCCATCTTTCCCTCTGAGAACAAGACCCCGAGATACTTTTATTTATTTATTGTTTTTGTTTATTTGCACGGTGCATGTTAATGAACACAGCGGATTGTTGTCTTGGGCTAATCTGCATCCGTCGTCCCACAGTCACCCTCACAAACACACACTCATTCACCCACTCTCAACTATTGTACATGTTTTTTAGTGGTTGGAGAAACCTATGGAGACACAGCGAGAACATGCAAAATCCACACAGAAAGGTCTAGAGGTGGAATCGAACCCAGGACCTTCTTGCTGAACTCTTCTAGACTATTTTAATTCAAACTAAATAATCATGACAACGCCAACAATAGACAAATGTAAAGAGTTCTCACCGGTACCAGTCCAGACCCCGGTCATAGTTCCTGTCAAAGAAGTGCGTCTCGGTCCCGGCCGCGCGCACGTCCGGATGGATCCTGATAAACTCTAGAACCGCCCGCGTCCCTCCCTTCTTCACCCCCACGATGATGGCACGGGGCAACTTTTTGTTTCCAAACTTCATGGTGCTGAGCGCGGGGCTGGGGCTGTGCGTGCGGACCGCCTGCGTCTCCACGGTCCGCGGCACTGGAGTCTGGCACCGCGCGCGTCCTGGAGTGGGGTCAACGGCGGACTTCTGCGTGAGGCTCTCCGCGGGGAACAGGACGCAGTAGCACGCGTACGTGAAGGAGATGGACAGGAAGCACAGGGACGTCCTGGAGAGCCGCGGGGAGCAGGGGGCCAGTCGAGCGAAGAGGAGCGCCCATGCCATGTCGTTACACGCATGGCTCTCAGCGTCTAAACATCTCTTCACACAGAAAGGGGGGAGGAGAGGAACTTCCCCCGGCGGCTCCACGGACTCTTCCCGCGGCTGTCGTCTCCGCGGCGCGCACACATCGTCGCTGTCTGTGCGAGTGCGCTCCTGGTCACTGCGCGCTCTGGGAACCTGCGCGGACTGTGGCTCAGAGCGCGCGGCAGAAAGCATAGCGCAGGATGAGTGACGTCACGGAGCGAAAGAGACAGTGTTGATGGGATTCTAGTCGTGTAAGATCAGATAAGATAAGATAGTCCTATATTCGTCCCACAGTGGGGATGTTTCAGTTGTAATGTTACACATATTTAAGAGATTCTGCCGCAGATTCTCAACCAAACAGAATGTCACTAAAATACTTCAATTCAGGATCACCTAATTTCGCCTGCTCCTTCTTGAATTATGATACCCAAATGGAAATGCTTATTGTGTGGACATCTTGTGTCTGATTTTGTGTTATGAGGCCTCATTTGAAAGGTAACACCTTCTAGTTTCTGGAAATGTATGTTACAGTTTCTTAGGATGGACACAGTCTGCACTACACCTTCTCAAACATGAGTCAAAGTTCGTTTTTTTTTGTCTCGAAAAAAAAAAGGCAATTTCAAAATAATCTCCTGAAAACATACTTTATGGTATGTTGTTCAAACTCACCAGAGCAGATGTCTGTGGTGTTGGCAACAACTGTATGAAATTTTAGACCTTTAGGTGAAACCATTTTGATGCTGGGGGCTTTTTTGTGACTAATGGGCACATTCGGCACAAGCGGTCCATTTTTGTGCCAATTGTGCCAAAGTGTTTTACATGCAAATTATCAACGTTATTACACCAGAAATCAAATTGTATCATTTTTTGGCTATTACTCTTGCTATAAATAGGATTTTTTTCCAGATATTGAAATGTTTACAGAAAAGCTATTATTTATATAGATATAGCGCGTGTTCTCTGTGAAAATGCTCCGCTTTCCTCTCTTACGCATTCAAATATGACGGGAACAGTGGGAGGAACCTTGAAGTCCGACACATCGCCTGAAACCTGAGATTATTGGCTACAAGATGGTTTGATTGACATCCAAATCGGCCAATGGTAGTCAAGACAATGCTGTTGTGACGCACAGATATCTATATGACTGGAGCGGTAAAGTTAGGTGCGCTTGTTTTACTCAACTCACTCTACCTTCCAAACCATAGCACTGAAAAGGTCGGGAATGGGCTTGTTTTGAAGGGAAGACTGAGAGGAAGACGAACATACCCAGTGATGTTAGGTAAATAGTAACATGCCTTCTTCATACAGTGCGCAAAGAACAGGTTTTGTTTTCGTTTGTGCAACTTTCAATACTCAAATGTGTAGTTACAACTGGATATCTACTATAAGGATGACTGTAGAAAAAACAACTGGATATAATTATTCTATGAACCCTCACGAACAAAACGAATGCACACATGTGTGGATTAGACGTGATTTGCCCCAGAATATTAGCATGAAAAGGTAAGAAAGGACGATGTATATTTTATATACATATACAGTTTGACTCCTTTTTCATACTTTTGGTTATATTTAATGTTTATTTTAACATAATACGCGTTTAGAGGTGGGAATAAGCTTTCAAAAGAGATATAGCTTGACTATATTGACAAAAGTGAATTCTAATACTGATGCTGTTAAATGAAAAATATCGGAATCCTCCCTGTACAGGGAGGGTGATCCTTAAAAGGTTATGCAGAGCTGTCACAAAGTCACTCAGAGACAAAACTCATGGACTCAACATGAAACATCTGAGACAGTTTTTAAAATAAGGTTCAATATTTAAATCAATGGAGACTTCTGGTATATCCAGACTGATCAATGGTCACGGACAAAGATGGTGCAGAAAGGTTCGTCTTGTCAGATAATTTAAAATAGTCAAAATCAGACCACTGCAAACACAAAAACACACATGCAAGGAACGACACAACAATCATCAAGATCCCAACAAATACAAAGCAGCAGAGATCAGGAAACCACAGACACCATGAACCGGGACCAGGGCCATTCCAACTCTCCCGATCATGGAACACACTTTGTCCGTGACCAATGACCAGCAGGGGGCGCAGTCAGCCCAGGGAACCATACCAGGACAGGGCTCCTGGGAAGAACAGCTGAAAAGAACAGCCGCATTTGTCTTGTGCAGAAGAGCCAATACTTAATGAAGAATGGTCCAAAAAGATTTTCAGGTTCTCTCCTGAGTCGTAGCTCTGAAATAGTTGTTGTTCTGTGCTTTACAATTGTTATTTTTCTAGCTTTTTTCTACTAAATGTTACTACAGTACAGTGTTCATGGTTTTACAGTACACTGATCCAGACCAGAGGGTGTGTATCTGTCATTAATATAGTTTACGTTGCAATTACGGCATAAACACAGAGTAAAAATAACAATACCAAGTCAATCAAATGAGTTAGCCCTAAATCAAACAGTAATAACACAGGAAATGCAACAATAACAAACACATGGAGCCACTGGTCCATTGGGGAGGCCCACATATAGAGCAGGACTCACCCCCACAGATGGACAGGCTGTAGACCCAGGACTCAGGTTGTAGATCCAGGTCTCAGGCTGTAGACCCAGGACTCAGGCTGTCGATCCAGGACTGAGGCTGCAGACCCAGGATTGAGGCTGTAGATCCAGGACTGAGGCTGCAGACCCAGGATTGAGGCTGTAGACCCAGGACTGAGGCTGTAGACCCAGGACTGAGGCTGTAGACCCAGGACTGAGGCTGCAGACCCAGGACTGAGGCTGCAGACCCAGGACTGAGGCTGCAGACCCAGGACTGAGGCTGTAGACCCAGGACTGAGGCTGTAGAGTAACATATTTGCTTTTTGTTCCGTTGACAAATCCTCAAAATAAACTCAAATCAAGATGAATACTTCCAATATCAAATTCATGTTATTTTTAGTCCCTTTTTATTGGCAGAGACTTTAAATAAACACAGTCTTTGCCTTTTGAGACCGGGAAACAGCGATTTGGTCTCGATTGTGTTCATTCGCGCTGCCGTCTTGTATCATGTCCTAGATGTGAATGTTCATAACCTCTGCTGGTATTTCTTATTTCAAAACACATAATCAGTGCTCGCAGCCTCTTTGAATCAAGCCAGCCAACTCCCCAGATGTCGTGCAATCATGAAAAGGCAGTTAGTGGGAACACAGACATTAAACATATCTCAGGACATATATTATTTAAGGCGCGTTGGGTTCTCATCTTCACGCTCACCGGAGAACAAGAAACATGGACCAAAGAGCTGCGGCAAATCCACTCCCATCCTTCCCCTCTATGCATCCGAGCAAATCGCAGATGATACGGACCCAAAGTGATGCATTATGGGTACAAGGCCAGTTTTTTTGTATTGCACCATTCATACACAAGGCAACTGAAAGTGCTGAACAAAACAAGATGGATAAAAAGTAACAGTACATTAAAAACAGTAAAAATTAAAATATACAATCCCTCATTTGTATGTACAGCTAAAGAACTATTTTCAACCTGGATCTAAACATTGTCAGAGAAGAGGCCTGTCTCACATGTTCAGGAAGATGTTTCTAGATTTTAGCTGCATGAATCTGAAATGTAGTTAAAAACACACACGCACACCTTTTTCTTAAGTCCATTATGTAGAATAACGAGTGGTCAATAGCTTTTCAGTTGCTTTATTGTGCGAACATGACACAAGCAGTTAAGCTAATAACGTTTCCAGGCTAACGTCTCTATATAACTCAGGCGCTCTTGCCGTAAAGCAGGTGCCGTAAACAGTATATCAGTATAACAGTATAACTATATATCATTTATATATGACATCTCCCCCTTTATGTACTCCCCCTAAATCAAAAGGTGAAAATAAACAAAAGTACAACCATTAACATATCAGATTACTTTTTCTTTCTTTCTTTTTTTTTTTTTTAGAAGCCCCCATAGAACAAGTCTTTCCTATAACCTGCAATAAAGTATTTGCAAGAACATAGAAGTAGTATTAGTAACAACATTAGGGTACATGCAAGTATTTTTCTTTATCCCATCTTCCCCCCCAAAGGCCATGGTGTGCGATGTGGAGCACACTTCAGAGACTACAGGTCCAGTCTCTTGACAGGTCTGCACACACGACCGGACCTGGTACACACCGGAGAGTGAGAGTTCGTAGGTGTGCATGTCTCAGCAGGAGCAGACACCAAGGGCATAGTCTCTGGGTCGGAGAAACCAGTTGGCTGGATTGGCGCAGCCACCGCGGTCTCTGTGGGTTGAGGAAGAGGAGCAATGTCTATCGGCGCAGAGTAATCCGTACGGAGATGACGACGGTTGCGACGAAACATTACTCCTTGAGGTGTCTTGAGAATGTACGATCGCGGGGTAACGCACTCACTGGAAACAGTTGCTGGTGTCACCCAAGCTTTATCCTGGTCCAACTTGGCGACGACTGCATCGCCCGGACGCAGTGGGGGAAGCGGTCTGACCCCATGGCGGCGATTGAAGTAGAAGGCTTGTCTAGCCTTCTCTACAGCATCTTTTTTTAGCACCATCTTTTTGTTGGGCCACTTCGGATTAAGATTTTTCTCCAAAGTAGGGAGGTTTGTTCTGATCTTTCTCCCCATGAGGAGCTCAGCTGGACTGACGCCAGTGGTGGTACAGGGTGTTGACCTGTAACACATGAGAGCAACGAGCGGGTCTTCCTGTCTGAGGATTTTCTTTGCGGTTTGTACTGCTCTCTCTGCGTGACCGTTTCCTTGAGGATGGTGAGGACTAGATGTGAGATGCTTAAAGTCCATGTCCTCGGCAAACTCGCGGAACTCAGTGCTGGAAAACTGAGGCCCGTTGTCACTCACCACCTCATCGGCGACACCGAAACGAGCAAAAGTGGCTTTCAGTCTTTGAATCACTTGAAAGCTTGTAGTGGATGGCAGTTGCAGAATCTCTAAATAACGAGAATAGTAGTCTGATACTATTAGATAACTGTTTTTATTGTACTCACAAAGATCCAGTCCTATTCTTTTCCAAGGTCGATCGGGCAAAGGAGTTGAGATGAGTGGCTCCTTTTGTTGGGTGCGCCTCTGCTCCTGGCATGTGAGACATCGCATTACAGTGTTTTTCAGTTCAGCTGAAAGGCCTGGCCACCAAACTGATGAATTTGCCCTGTCTCTGCACTTTGAGAGTCCTTGGTGTCCTGAGTGTATTTTCTTTAGAATCTCTGACCTCTCAGACTTTGGGATCACGATTCTACAGCCACGTGTAACAAGGCCATTCGTCTCTGACAGTTCATTTTTCACTTTCAGATACGCACGGACGTTTAATGGCACTTTGTCTCTGTATACTGGCCATCCTTCTCTAATGTACCTAATGACGGATTGCAGTTGTGGTGACAGTTTTTGGAGTAATTACATAAAACCAGCCGCAGCAAATACACGGACGTCAAAGGCCTTTTATCAATGCAGACGACCTTCTGACGCCATGCTGAGCTTTGTGAGGGCCCCTGCTGTCTGTCACACCCTTGTGTCTTTCGCATCTCGCATCTGTATGCTTGCATCTTCTACCATTGTCTGTCTGTTCGCACCTCCATGCCCTGTGTCTGATTGCCTAACCACAGGGGCATGACGCCAACGCTCCCCATGCGCCTCCTCACCGGTGGCCCCCTCCCATCTGTTGTGGGTGGGACTGGCTTTCGTGTGTGTCTTGTATACAGGAAACTCGGGGCTCTGCGCCCAGAGCTGGTACATGCTGCCTTTGTGTGTATGTGCTGGCTCTCCGCACGTGTGTTGACAATAAACTTACGCTTTTGATCAGACAAAGGACCTTTGAGTTTTCTCCTTCATTGGGTAGAAACTTCCTTAACAATTTGGCGTTGCTGACACGTTCTTGTTGGATTTTTTTTTCGGCGTGGAGACGACTCGTGTTGTTTTGGCCAAACCTGGGACAAAGGACCAGCCTCCTACCTCACTTAGTGTTTGACGAGAAGCAGGGGGGACACGGCTCGCCTCGCGCTGGAAAAACTATTCGACTACAGGACCATAAAAGAACCTAATCTGGTGAGTCTTGTCTTTTCATCTGCGTAACGAGCCCAGGGCAGCACTTAAGTGTACACGGGGATTTGTTTATTTACGTATTTTTGGGGTATTTCATTCATTGCCACAGCATAGTCTGTGTGCGGGATTTTTGGGGTATTGTGTTCTAGATTGAAGCTAGCGGCTGCGCGTTAGTATCGCATTGTAAGCGACCCTGGAATCTCTGAGTGTCTTCAGCCAGAACCGCTCCGTTTTCAAGAACGCGCGCTCGCTGGTTGAACCAGCGGGGGGGGGAACGGAGCGCCCCAAAGTGGGTAAGAGCAGGGAGAGACTAAGCGGGTTAGGCCCATTGTTCTGTACGAGAAAATGGGAAAATCAATCTAGAGATGCCACACCGAGGGGAAGGTTAACGTCCCCCGTTACAATGACAATGGATTAAAGTTTGAGCGTGATAATTTAGAAGAAGAAAAAAAAAAATATATATATATATATACTTGGTTTTAAGAATATCACGGCAAAAGACGTTAGAGAAAGAAATATGTAAAACAATAGCTCCTCCGCTTTTCACCGAAGCGGAGAACACACAGGCGGACACACACACACACATCCCCCACACCCCCACACCCCCACCCTACCGCCCCTTTTTCCCCTACTAACAATAAGTGTGCACCCAAACAAGGCGTTGGGTTTTTAAAAAAAATGAGCAGACTACTGTTGTCCCTTTTCCTCTCCCTGTCCAGGTCTGTCGGCGCTTTTCCTCCGCACTCTGTCCTCTGCCTCAAAGCACCAGCCCCACACCCCAACCACAGGCGGCGCTCGCACCAGCTGAGACCCCGCGAGAAGTGGGCCCAAACCCGGGAGCAGAAGAAGACGTGGTGGAAGCAGATACACGCTCAGGAAACCGCAGAAGAAGAAGCGGGGGAAGCAAATATGTGAGACACCGACAACTGCCTTGGAGGCCAGAGACAAACTGCTCCAAATCCCGTGACTGTTCCCCACGGAGGGGGTAGCGTGAAACACAAAACGCACCCGCTGAAACCTCGTTGAAAGTTGCCCCCGCACCGCAAACAGAAGAAGCCAAAAGTACCGGCACGTTTGGTTATTCACCAACCCTCATGGACCACAGGCTAACGCTTTGGGCTACCTGGGCCTCCTGCGGACTTTGAGAAACTTCCACAGCCCGGCGGAAAGACTGTGTGCTCGACATGGGTCGAAGGACTGTTACCGGAGGAGGCGTTAAAGGCAGAGGCCCACACGGGGCCAGAGGACGGCAGAGGCGGGCGTGGAGGAAACACGAGCGACTGACCAAACCTGGGTTCACATTCGTCACCAAAGCGACCGCTCATGTAAGTTGAACAACAACAAATTGCAATTGGCACTTTTTAGAGATAATTCATGCCCGTAATATACGCTAACAATCTGTGGTGTACAAGTTAAAATTCTGGATGACTCCGGGGCAACAAATTCTGTGCTAAAAGTGACAGCCTTTCTGTCTCCCCTAAAATGAGTGGCCGCTTCATATTCTAATTAGCAGCGTCGGAGAGACGACTAAAGAGCAATTTACGTCACCGCTAACGTGTTTTGATTCTCAGGGCAACCAGCTTAAACATTCTTTTCTATATTCCCCATTGTCCCCGGTTAATCTACTAGGCCGAGACCTTATGTGCAGACTCAATTAAAAATAGATAAATAAAAGGAGGCACCGGTCCCAAAAGTTAACTACCACTGGAAATTGACACCAAACCCTGAGATTGCTAAGCTATTAGCCACAACAGTGAATAGAGTTACGCCCGCACAAAATTTGGAGGTCAACCACGCGAACGACCTAAGCTGCTCTCTCCGGTCGTTCCCAGACAATAACTTGGAGTTTGAAAATTCATGCAGTGTAGTGAAGATAGGCTAACGGAGTATGTTTATTGGGATAGGCACCACGCTATGGTATTTGTGCGACTTAATGAGCAACAAAAACATTTTTATCGTGAAACAAAGGTGAAGTATTAAAGTTTGAGACTAATTTACATTTTTAATGAATCCGACCTGGCTTTATTGAAAAAGAAAAAAATAAGGAAAATAAACATTTTTTTAGGTGACAAGAGCTCATTAGAGATATAGGGGACACCATTTGTGATAAGCCCGACTACAGACCACGTGGTAAACACTAAAGTTGGAAATGGATTTCTTTTTTTTTAGGAAAAATCTCTTAAAAAGCTTTGCATGTTCTGCAGGCTCTGAAAGTTGCAACAATAGGAATAGCTCATGAGACAATTGTAATTGGACATGGAAAATATAACAAAGTTAAAATTACAGGCCTTCTGTGTGTGTTACATGTTTGTGTGTTATATGTTTTGTGTATGTTATATGTTTGTGTGTCATGTCAAAGTACACTACGTTGACCTTAACAAACTCTGGACCAATACTAACGTGGGGAATCGGCCTGTGATATGAGTGTGATGTGAGTGTGATGTGAGTGTGGTGTGAAATGAGGAATGCTGAACGGAATCATGGAATAACAAATGTGTCTGTAATGTTTTAATGTGATCATGGAATAATTATTTTTTTTGTCAACAGCATACGGTGTAAGTACTAGAGATTCAAAGATAACGACCTTTATTGAACAGGTGTAAAAGTGAGAGTACTCTGGGATGAGTACTCTGAGAAAAGTACTCTGCGGAAAGTACTCGGAGATGAAATACCTCGCTGAAGATATTGGGAGTTCCTCCCTCTGCTGTTCGCCCTGACAGTGATTCGGTCCAACCGCAGTGAGCTGTCGTTGGTTGAAGGACATCTTTGGTTGGTAAACTCACATTTAGGGGAGTATAAAATTAGAAACATACATTTTGTTGTTCTGTATCTGGCTACAGCCTCCGCCCTGATGCCACACACCGTCTGTCAATGTTTTTTTTTTGTGTTCTGATATTTCTTTTTCAGATGAGAGATAAACTACCCCTGCTCCAGGGATGACAGTAGTATGGATCAGGAGGAAATGAGCCTCCACTTTGGCACAAAAGCCCACAATATGAATTGAGGACGATCCGGGAGAAAAGCAACTGGAGATGAACGGAACAGCAAATCTACACACACACACTAGGTCTCCCTGACCCAACCTGGCCATTCACTCAGACTGTGGATGAGCGATGTGGGTGCATGGTGTCGGTACTTTTGCAGTCTCACGGAGGGCCACTGAGACCCACTGCTTACTTCTCAGCAAAACTCGATCCCGTGGCAGCAGGGTTGCCTCGCTGCCTGCGGGCTGTGGCTGCCGCTGAGAAAGCGGCCCTAGCATCACGTGACCTTGTGGGATACACTGAACTAACTTTGCTTGTGCCCCATGCTGTTTCCCTGATCCTGCTAGAGCAGAAAACCTCTCACCTTTCTGCGGCTCGTTGGCTGAAATACAACACGGTGCTCTTTGAACTCCCCAATGTCACGGTGAAAAGATGCACACAGCTGAACCCCTCCTCACTGCTGCCCACGCCAGAGGAAGGGGAGGCACACTGCTGTATCGCCACAATAGAACAGATATGCACTCCCAGGCCAGACCTGAAAGAGGTGCCTCTGACTAATCCTGACTTGATTTTTTTTATACAGACGGAGCC